TTTATCTAAATGTATTCTTTCCACTTCACTTCACATCTTCATTCTTATCGTAATCGTACTCCTAAGTTTTTTAAATTTTTAGACAACACTTGACATTTTTAAAACATTTTTGATTTCAATTCACTTATAAAACAATCTTTAATAATTTTGCAATTTATCCACTTCAACTCTGCCCCTTATGACCTTTTAATTATCGTTATTCTTATCATATATGTGTATATTGACTGAGCTATTATTTAGTGCCACTTAATAACCTTTTCTGTAATATAAATACGACTGTACAGCCTGAAAATGAAGTCGTTGAAAAGAAATTTCTTCGCTGAACAAAAAACTGTGTTTTTACTTATGAATAAATAGGTATTTTTCGGTATTTTCATATTGTCTCATACAGCCTGATTACACACAATTGAAACCTGTATTTTCTGTTGACTAAATATATATATATATATATATATATATCATTAAATTAAATTACTTCATCTCATTTTGTCCCATGTTCTCATTGACGATACATATTGAAAAACTAACTGACTATTGTTCCATCCCATCTTATACTTGTTCCACAATACATTTTCTGATATGATTCTAATTTGCCTTTACTGGCTGGCTATTGTATGCTTAAATTAATGGATTTATAATTGTAGAGCCTGAAGAAGAATTTATTGAAACCACAGTTGCTCGCTCTAAATATTTGGTTCTGAATAAATTATGGGAATATTCAATTTACTAAAACAGTTTTATAGACTATTTCTAATGAATATATATTATACTATTCCAGTTTACAGATTGTGGACGTCTTTACTTTTGTGGAAACCTGAAATTCGGTAAAAGAGTATTCAGTCTGTTTTATTACAAATATAAGGAATCTGGAAAAGAGGATAAGAAATCAACCAGTTCAGTTCAACCTAGTGGTAAGACGTTCTTCACTTGGTATTTCTTATTTGTGTGTTGGTTCATTTCGACTTCAGATACACGAACATCTGCTCACCTTATCACTCGAGTACCGGATTTCAGCCAACGATATCTCCTTCCATTGTTTTGGTAAGTTTTATCAAATATTTAGTTGTTTTTTTAATAAGATAATTAACCGCATCGGTGGTACAGTAGTAGAATGCTCCTGGGTTCGATCCCCAGCCTAGTGACGCACTTCTTTACCTCACTAAGCCAGTAATGGCTGGTAAAGAGGGAGGGTTGGGCATGAGACTAGCAACCTCATCCCGTAAAACACCACTACTGTCGAAACTTCAAAGCTGTAGTTTGAAGCCCCCTATGCTCCCCTGGGAACGTTGAGGAATAAAAAAGAGAGTTAATCAACCACTTTATTGTGACTAGTTTATTTCACCTTGTTGTAGTCGGTGTACCTGTAGTATACGATGTTTGAGACGTGTAGAAAAGCGATCTGCACTCACTTCTGGTATCGATCAATATACTTGTCTGGGGAGTTTTGACAGCCATAGTGCGGATGATTAATAATAAAATTTTTTTGTACAGTTCGGTATATAATCCTTGCTATATATTTGCCAGATTGCATTGGTTTTGGCACTGGTGAATGAATTTCAGGTTGATTTTTTATTATTCTTTCATTTTCTTTCCTTTTTGTCTTCCCTAAATTGTTTTGTGTCGTGTGTGTGTGTGTGTCTCATTTGCTCCTAATTCAGCCCTAATTTTGACCTGTAACACTAAAATAACTTTATTTTGCTCTTTCCGTACACTCATGTACTTCTGAAGGTCGGATTCCCATTGGTTGTGAACTGTATAAACTTATCACAGTAAATTTATTGTTTTGTAATGGTTATTCAGAACAAGTAAAATTAGCAGCACTGCTGTCAACTGTTTAGACTATTGTCTAACTCCTTTGTCAACTAGTCATCGCCCCTCTTCTTCTTGCTTCTTCTCCCGGTGGTATTTTTGCTGTTGTTATCGTTGTGATCAGCGAAGAGACTAGGCTTGTTGTCATCAGAGCCATAGATAGGTTCATATCCATAGGAGTTTGATAGGTCGTATTATCTGTCCAATGAGCGTTTTTCGCACCAAATTTGTTTTGAAATAAATAAATGAAATAAAGAAGTTCATCAAAAAAGAAGCTGTCGGAGGTCATTATTTTCTTTTGTCACATCTTTCTGTGAAGATTTTTCCCATTAAGCAAGTTTTTCAAGTCTCCAGGTTCATCATGGAAACATCATCTGTCAGTTGTCCCTTTGTAAATTACACCATTTTTTTCATCGGGACAACTATATTATTATTATTGCTTCCTTTAATTCCTAGAGGAACATAGGGCTTCAGCCGTGCGTCTCCATTGCGTTCGGTTCTCTGCTAGAGTCTTCACCTGGTTCCAAGTCTGCCACCCACATGCTTTCATCTCCTCTTCACATGACATCCTCCAAGTCACCCACTCTCGCACTGACGACCAACTCGCCGCTTCACTTTCGGGTTCCACTCGAGCGATGGCTTGTCTAGTGATGTCACTTGATGGTTTCCTCAGAGTATGGCCAATCCCATCCATCTCCATTTCTTCCTGCCTATTTGTTTCACAATCGGTTCCTGCTGTGTTGGTTCGCTCATAGCCAGAGATCTCTGTTGCTGTTCTTTTCTGACTGGCCATCTGATCTTGAACAGAATTGAGTGAAGATAACTGTTGATGAAGATGTGTAGTTTGTTTGAGATGCTCTTTATGACGCGCAGTGCAAGTCTCTGATCCGTATGTTGAGTAGCACTGACTTCACATTGGAGTTGAAAATCCGGATCTTATTTTTCATGCTGAACAGTGCTGTTGACCTTCACACAGACTTGAGAGTAGTGAAAGCTTGTCTTGCTTTTCCGATTCGCCTATATGAGAATAATAATAATAATAGCAGCTCCATTCTTAAACAGTGTTAATGTAATATACAGAATTTGCAGGGGAGTTTATTGCATGATATTTTCTCTTCGTCTGGGATCTTCAAATATAACATTAATTGACAGTAGATGGCGTGTGACACAGTTCTCTCTGACCTGAAGCACAAACCAATCCATCGTGATATCGCTTCCTTGTCTCCGAGATATTTACCAGATTTAGTTGAATCCCGATCATAAACAGTTCAGGAGTACGTTTTGCGAATCAAGGACATAACCCAGGAATAGTTATCTCATGTATTGGGATGAGCTACCGTCCAGGATAACGTTTCTTCTCAAATTTAGTAAAAACTTGCAAATTAGAAGGTTGTAAACGTTTTGAATACTCGCCAGAGAAAATATTACTATTACAGGTTATACTACATTATACTAGATTTAAACAAACTGGATAAGAAAAATTATATGCAATGTATTGGTGGAGGTTTTCGGTAGCACAAGTTTTAAGCAGAACTAAGAATCCTCTTATTCTTTCTTCATAGACTGCTATACCTTTTTCGGTGGATATAAATAGATCGTCTTTGAAGGTGATTTCATCGATGCAGGAAATTGCCTTCTCTGAATTGCCTATTGTCTTGCTTCATAACTATGGAATCAATAGGTTCCCGGTCGACAACTGCTGCCTTGCCGTGGTGGTCGGGCTTGGATATCACAGTGACCGAACAAGCTAAACTGACTGGGACTCATGTCCCTGCAGGTCCTACCATGTCAGGAAGGTTGTTTGGATAGCGGTTAGACTAAAAGCAGTTACCATGTAGTACATGGGCTCCAGAATCCAATCGGATCAAATGGCGTACGAACCCATATTGGTCACCGGCAAACATGGGAATGCAGCTCCACTGCCTTGCGGATTAGACTCCAAGTCAAAGGCTCGGGGGGTGGTCCCTTAAAAAAACCACCTGATTCCGTCTGGGCGCCCGGGCAGTATCTCAGCCCTCACACAACAAATGAAATAAAACAACAAACTATTATTGAAACTCACGGCGCGCTCGTAAAAATGATTTGAAGAAATAATGATACCTCAAGCAGCTTATGTCCTTCCAACCTTACTTTTGTTTTTATACTTAGATTCCTATATTTTACCTTTGCTCACCTTGACTTCTTAACCTTCGACAGCCTTTCGCCTTTGTTTGGATTCCTAGCCTATCTGTGTCACTTCGAGATGTTAGTGAGTAACCCTCAAAATGGTTATCCCCAATGTGACATGTAACACAGATATCCTGGAACCGCGTGCCGCGTTCAAGCTGGCCACCTGCAATGTTCGGACGCTGATGCAAATCGAACAACAGGTAGAGTTGGTAAGAACATTGGAAAGCCTCACTATCGATGCCTCCTGCATTTCGGAGACCCGCATTCAAGATCCCAGTGAAGTGCTTCGATTATCCTCTCCATCTGGAAGTTCTAGTAGTATGTACCACCTGTGCTTGTCCGGGACCCTGTGGTGTCGGCATCCGGCGTAGCTGGTGTCGGACTGGATTCCCATTAACAGTCGTTTATGTGCTGTGAGGCTGGAAGGTTATGCGAAAGTAAGGAGTAGTAGGCCAGATAGACGGTGTCTATTTGTTGTCTCTGCCTATGCACCAACGGATTGCAGCCCGGATGCAATGACGGATGAGTTTTACCATCAACTTAGCGATCTCTTGAGACATGCGGGTGGGAGGGATATCGTAGTGCTGGCTGGGGACTTGAATGCACAAATCGGGCATCTGAGTTCAGAGGAGAATCGTCTAGGTGGTCAATGGTCGCAGGTCAGATAATGGGGACCGTCTTCTGCAGCTTTGCGCGAATCACAACCTATTTCTAGCCAGCACCAACTTCCGGCACAACCATCGCCGTAGCGCTACCTGGCGTCCTCCCTCTGAGAATCAAGCTTGGACTCAGATTGATCATATTGCTGTCAGTTCCCGGTGGTGAGGATGCATACAAGACTGCCTACTACCTGTTTCGAAATTAGTATTACCTCTGTGCCTTACTTTTATCATTTTCTTTGTTGTGCTTAGGTTTGGCCTATCTGATGCATTCCTGTTAAGACCTGAAGACGATTGGATTAAAGGTGGTACACGTTTAAGTCTACTACTCAGTTCAATTGAAATGGCTGTGTATTCCACTCGATGGTGAGTTTAAAATCTGCAATATTTTGAGTTTTAAATAACATGTGTTTTAATCATTATTATGAGAATCATTCAACAACATATATTCTAATTCGGTTAACTGAAAATGCTGGGGGCTGTAACATTCTACAACTAGTGTTGTATGTACTGAAGAGTTCCAAAGTCGGACAAAACAACTATCCAGTGGTGTGTTTGGTTTTGCAGTGTGTCTGTAATTAATGTCAGTTCGTGATGCCGTTATGTCTCATCACGAACCAACATCCGTTAGAGAACCGTTGAAGGCCACTGGAACGGAATCCAATGGTCCATGAATTCTAACTTACTTCTACCAATTTGATGACTCAGGGCGTGTGCAGACGAAGAGTCCCCAAGTGAGACGAAATAGTTTTCCAGTACTCCCTGGCTTTTATTGGTTCTCTAACTGATGTAGCGTGAAATTAGTCGGATCCTTAACACACCAAACCTAGCTTTAACAGTATGTGTAATAACGGATTTTTCCTGTACTTCCGTTTTCCATCAGTAGGGGTTAAATCTCTTCTGTTAAGAAAAACACGTAAACAGCGAAGAAAATTTTCTTTTTGACAAATCATTTTCATAGGCTGTACAGCAGTCGTAATTATATTTAACAAAGAAATCATAAGACCATTCAGATACTGGTAAAATTTGTCCTCGGAAACCGTGTTCCGTAATGTTGTAAGGTGTTCTTTAGGTAGAGTGACTTACTGGAAAGTAGAAGAGGGGAAGTAGTTGGCATAACGTAATGAGTGTGAGATAATGACTAACCGGTGAGATTGTGTAGAATGGACAGGAACTATTGGAAAGACGATAGTGAAAACTCAGTGTTATTAATCAACAGTAATAGAGTGATAATAAAATATGGATGATGGGGATAATAATGATTATAAAATAATAACAATAATAATAGTAAACTTATATAATAAAAAAGAAAATTAAAACAATAAGTCCCTTTGATAAATTTAAATAAGGCATTAAGAAGACAAATTTCGCGAGATGATATCGTCATTTCGTAGTTTCTTTACAACCACCTTACAACTAACAGGGTTAACAATAATAAACAATAGTAACAATAAATAAAGTTCATGACAATTACTCAGTTAAATAAAAAACAAAATTACATACTAATGACCTATCATAGTTGGCGAAGATTGAAGTCTATTGCTTCTTGTACACACAGTTTAGGCTGTATGTGATTAATCCAAAGTGCTTCCACCACCTTGAATATCTTTGAATTAGACTTATGTGATGAAATAATTGAGATACAGTCATTAATATTGATTTTGTGACCTGACATTAATAAGTGTTTTGCAATGGGTGATGCTAGATTTCTATTCAGATTACTCGCATTGGGATTTTCTATATGATTTAGTAGCCATTTTGGAACATGTTCTTTTCGATGACATTGGAACATTCTGTTGGTTCTACCTATATAGCTGTCACCGCAGCTGCAGGTGAACTTGTAGATACAGTTTGAAGTAGAGTCCACAGAATTTCGTCCTTTAATCGTAGGTACAGGGATCGAAAATGTTCGGCGTGTGAGAAGAAGAGATGCGGCGTAGAATGTCCGTTTGATGGCTGACCGAATTCTTTGAGTTGTCAACTGCATAATCTGGTCACCCTTGAATGGTAGGTTAATTAAAGATAGCTTTCTTTGGTACAGAAGCTTATTCAAATAAAAAAGAAGCAAAATTATAATAGGAATGTTACTCTGGCCACGGTACGGCGACTGCATGTATGTAGCGCTTTTGAATGCAGAAATCCGGTTTCAGATCCCGAATGGCTAATGATTCAACTATGTACAGATGGTGTATGCGAAGTCCCTTTCTATGATATTGAGGGACTCTATGTAGTACTATGAAACATTCATGCGGGGTGCTCAATGTCCAGATATGACAAGTTGTTCGAGGATGGATCTGCTGCTACTCTTCTTTTCTCCTCTGGCTGGCTATCGAAGCTGGACAATATTCCAGAATACGTTTGTGGACTTGACGTTGCGTACGGCAGATGTACTTTGCTCCACACGAGCAAGTAAACTGATAAATGCACATTGAGGTGGCCAAAAGCGATGTCTCATCCTTAATGTTAAACTGAATTAACTGTCTGATGGAGAATATGATAGGTAAGGTGGCTGCTTGAAATGTCTTCTTCAGACATTTGGAAAGGCGGTTTCTAAGAATTTCAGCTTCAATGTTTCCTTTGAATTCCTGGTTCATTAAGACAGTTTCCTTCAGAACAGTTGTGATTTTTGACGACGGAGGCTTTTCTTTCATGATTTTGTGTCTATAGATGTTGGTGGAGGACAAATTTTATCAATACCTGATTGGTCTTATGATTTCTTTATTAAATATAATGACGACTGCTGTGTACAGCTTATGAAAATGATTCATCGAAAAGAAAATTTTCTTCTCTGTTTACGTTGTCTTTTTCTAATGACTCCTTATGGGAATATTTCGTTCTTTTGTTTAAGTTTACTTTGTATTCCCTGTCGAATGATTTTGTTGGAGCAAAATACTCAGATAGTAAGTAGCATGGACAGTTCAGTGGTGCATTGTTGTCAGTGGAAAACATACACTAGGCCGTGGTGTCTGCTTTATAACACTTGGCATTTGAAACGATGGTACAATTGTACCCATCTGACAATTCCCACTTAGTATGAAACGTGCTGTCTAGATTCTTAACCAACACTATCTGTATGCCGACTAACGCAGTCCACGTTTACTTTATCGGTTTATCTTTTATGTTGATGATCTAATTCGTTCCATTAATGTCAAGTCTCGAAGCAACAGAGTAGTGTCTATCGGAGTTATCATCAAGTGATGTACTTTTAGATGCAGTGATGGTTTTCATTACTGAGATCTGTGGACTGTAAGCCTTATAGATTATAATTGGATTTTTCAAGTTGAACTATGTAGAGTTGACAGTGAAACTATTATAGCTTTATATCAAATAACAAATAGGTTACTCAAAGGTGAAAGTGGGTAATCACTAAGGTGCTAGTAATATTAAGACTTCAATTACCAGGATAGTAGGCCTGTATTGTTCTGTCCTTCCTTTGTCCTAAGTCCTCAAGTTTCGAAGTCGGTCAATGGTGTGATCAATAAATTGCAAAATTCCTACCACCTTAGTTAAAATGATTCCAAATGCAACAAGTTTGATCGTCTAAGCATTGGAAATTATCTGGAAAACTACTTAGTTTGAGTACAGGAATTCATCATGAGATGACATTAGTTAGAGAATCATTGGAAAACCTGGGAGTACTGGACAGCTGTTCCGTCCTAGTTTGGGACTCTTCAGCAGTACGCACCCACCGGGATTCGAGCCCAGGACCTTCTTGTTACAAGGCGAGCTCTGGTATCGTGTGAGGACAAATACTCGTCGAAGACATTGGCTAGGGGTCGCTCTATGTCGTGAATTGGCAGAAGTTAGAATTCATGGGCCATTGGATCGGGTCCCAGTGGCTTAATGGTCTACGAGCTAGCTCGCCTTGTAACCAGAAGGTCCTGGGCTCGAATCCCGGTGCGTGCGTACTGGCAAAGGGTCGTAAACTAGGACGGAACAGCTGTCCAGTACTCCCAGGTTTTCAAGTGGTTCTCTAACTGATGTCAGCTTATGATGAATTCTTGTAACCAATCAAACCCCTACAAACCAACACTTGAATACTTAGTTTGAGAATCTCCTATTTCATCTGAGGGTGAGTTTAAGGTATGACGCTGACATATGTAGACTAGACCATTGAAATTGTAGTCAGTGTAAGGTTCGTGTTCTCTGTGTCCGTTGTATTTTCTCCCAATGATGGATTAAACCTCTACCCAACCACCCACCCTATCTCCCCATGCTCCGCAGTACTCTGCACACCAATGTATCGCTTTTACTAATCACCTAATTAACTTCGTTTCATTATTTATCATAACAAAGCTAATTAACACAATTAACAATTAGTAAGTAGTATCTTATGCCATCAAATTGAAGAATTTATTATTTTGATTGTTCTTATTGTTCTTTTTTTGTAATTGCATCAGTATAGCCCTATACCAGTATTGGTTGAACACTATATACAGACGTATTTCGGTTTAGTTGCTTCATCTAGTCTCGAATCAAGTGATTATGCACAGAATTCAGAGGTGAACGACAACAGGATCAATTCACTGTCATCTTCATCCTGGATTGGTTCTTTAAATATTGATTTTTCTAGTTGTTATATTACTGATGAAATATCGCAAAATTGTACACATCTTGGTGGATTAAAGGAGATATTTCTTGCCAAATTGGTAAGCAGTCATCATACTGTTTTTACTTTCTTCTCTTGGTTAGTTATTACACGAATAATTTGTGTTAAAATTAAAAGGAATTTATTAAGTAGTCGAATATAAAAGATGAGCTTGTTGACATTGAGTCGTTTGCTTCGGCTATGCTGTCTGTCTGTCTGTTTTCGACATAGAACTTTGCACATATGTGCGGCAGCTCAAGTCGCCACACTCCATGTAGCACACAAAGCAAGAGAAGAAAGTAGGAGAAATGCATATTAGAGACAGTAAACAGAAGTGTGAGACAAAGATATAGTAATAACGAAGATCAAAACAGTTTCATTGGAAATCATAAGTCACAAGGAGTGGACGCATCTGCGCGATTGAGAACGATTTTGAGCCATTTCACCAATAGTTTCTAACCATTGGTTTTTACCGTCCCGAGGACCTCAACCAGTCAGGAAGTCTACACCTTCCTACGTAGCCTAGACTAACTGTTGTGTATTTCATTGACTGGTGCCATGTTTTCGTTAACTGGCTTCATGTTAACACTGGTAGTCTTTTAAGCGTCACTGTTCATTGTAGAAAAGTCTACAATTGGAAGGATATCGTTGTTCTGAATGGTCAAACTCAACTTTCACCCCACACGGATACTAATTGATTTCTTCAAGTTAAGGATGTCTCCGTCTGTGTAAATCTTTCTCTCTCCCTAAACTGTAGATATTTAGCTTAACGTGAAAATCAATGTTTTTGATGGTTTGTGGGATTGTAACTCAATGGTCTGTGGCTTTAGTTTCTAACCATTGGGTCATGGGTTTGAATCCTGCTCCACCTGTCGAGGTTCGGACACTAAAGTAGTATAACTAGTCGTCGCAATAGGCGTGATTCATTGCCAGATGTATAGAAATGAATAAACTGTGCGGTCTTTGTTTCAATTTTTTTGATTTTCCCGTTGAATTGATTGCACTAAAGTGTTCGGCCTCAGTTGCCATGTTGTCTCATATTGTCGTGGTGTGATACAGACGACAATGTGTGTGTGGCATTAGCAACAGGAAACAATAATAATAATAATAACAGAATACTTTGTATGCATTTGAACATTCTATTTCATGTCATTTAATGTAAACCGAAATCGCACTTTCAGTGACTGACTATCGAATATATTAAATGCATTGATATAAAGAGCGGTTTGATCCCTGGAAAATATACCTTGGCTTCCGTGTCTTGCATTCTATTGTTGCAATATTACTATGAATGCTCCGACGGTGTCGGATGATTAACTTAAAATAATTTGTTGGGTGGTGGCCAAAGTAGTCCAGTGGATAATGCTCTGGCGTTTAAAATGGCGGGCACTTGGTTCGAGTCTCGGTAGGAACACCATTGTTCACCGGAGAATACAGGCGCATCCAGATGAAGAGTTCGAACTAGGACGAAATACATATTCTGGATTCCACTGCTGCTTACTGTTCACTAAATTACTTCACACTGTATCGTAATTGTCTGTATATTCAGTGTGAAAGTTCACTGAACTCGAGGAATGAATTTGTTTGGTTTTTACTTAGAATCATAAAGTGGACTTATTTATTTTGTTCCTTTGCTTTCCCAGTGGAACATAGTGCTTCAAGCTAGAGCATTGAAGTTTTGGTAGAAGGGGTGTTTATTTTTACGGGGTGGGATTGCTAACCTCACGCCCATCCTTCTCCCTTTGTCGGGATTATAACCGGCTAAGAGAGGTAAAGGTGTGCTCCGTCAGGGACTCGAACCCTGACCATGTGCATGATTGGCCAGCACTCTATCACCGAACCACCGACGCACTAGATGTTTACACTAGTGAAGAATAAAAAACAAAACCAAATGCAATTTGTACACAACTGTACTAACATATTTTAGTGAGTGACATCGCTAGCCAGCCCCTGGAGGGGAACCGCAATGAGAATTGATGAGGTCGTTGTGTGTCTGGGGTTGACGTGAAGGAAATTGTGTGAAGAGGTGAAATGAAAGCTTATGGACAATCGTGAAGCTAGGACTTCAGACGATAGGATGAAGCTCCATATATTCCACTCGAAACCCCAGGGAATAATAATAAATCTGATTTGTGCCTATTCAGCACATCTTATACGGTTAGTTGTTTTCTACCAAAGTTAAGAAGTTATTTCTCAATGATAGGTGGTGGTCACAGGATAATAAATGCAAAGTCTTAACATAGTGATGTTCATGTTTTTAAATGAATATACGTATTCATATACATGTAATCCTAAGAGTATTCACCTGCCAAGACTCCATTTATCTCTCTGCAAGCAGTTAAAGCTGCAAATCCAACTTGGACACTTAAGATTATAAGATACTGAAGTAATGCAGATGATTTGTAGCTCATTTAGCTGTTTCTGATGTTGTTGTATTACCTGAGATGCATACTGAAATCACGAAGCTAATGTTGAAATGAAGTAGGCTTTTGGAATTCTGCATGGATGATGATACCTGACCTTGACTGTGGTTGGTTGACTCCACAGATCTTGTGATTTTATTCACTTGTATTAGTGTATTTACCATCTCGTTGACCTGAATTTTGACCATTTTTTCTTTTTTGTAAGATTTCTTCAAGAGTTTATGTAATGCAGACAGAATTGTTTATCACGCATAAAACATATTTGTTTGATTGGAGCTTCTATGGTGTTAAAAAAAGTAATTGTCAGTCAGTCAGTGAGTCAGTCAGTAATTACGTTTGAAACGTTTTTGGCCAGTAGGTGTATGAATTTCCTTCCTTTAATCTGTTTTTTCTTTTCTTTTATTTCCTTGTCAGGGTTATCCTTGGAGTGTAAACTGTGCTGTTCCTAAATTGGACATCACAGCTAGATTTATATACCATCTGCCTTCTTGTTCGTCTCTACAGAGTGAGTTATACATAATATATCTTTCCATTATTATTATTATTATTATTATTATTATTATTATTATTATTATTTCCTTTAATTCCGAGAGGAACATAGGGCTTCAGCCGTGCGTCTCCATTGCGTTCGGTTCTCTGCTAGAGTCTTCACCTGGCTCCAAGTCTGCCACCCACATGCTTTCATCTCCTCTTCACATGACATCCTCCAAGTCACCCACTCTCGCACTGACGACCAACTCGCCGCTTCACTTTCGGGTTCCACTCGAGCGATGGCTTGTCTAGTGATGTCACTTGATGGTTTCCTCAGAGTATGGCCAATCCCATCCATCTCCATTTCTTCCTGCCTATTTGTTTCACAATCGGTTCCTGCTGTGTTGGTTCGCTCATAGCCAGAGATCTCTGTTGCTGTTCTTTTCTGACTGGCCATCTGATCTTGAACAGAATTGAGTGAAGATAACTGTTGATGAAGATGTGTAGTTTGTTTGAGATGCTCTTTATGACGCGCAGTGCAAGTCTCTGATCCGTATGTTGAGTAGCACTGACTTCACATTGGAGTTGAAAATCCGGATCTTATTTTTCATGCTGAACAGTGCTGTTGACCTCCACACCGACTTGAGAGAAATGAAAGCTTGTCTTGCTTTTCCGATTCTTGCTTTTATATCCTCGTCAGTTCCGTCTGCCTGTTGTTGAAACGATGCTTCCCAGGTAGGTTAAGGAGGTTGTTTCTTTCAGGTGCCTTCCATTTATGCTGATTGTTGTCCGTTGTTGTTGTTGCTGTTGGTGGTGTTGGCCAGGAATCTTCATCACCTCTGTTTTCTCTATGTTCACCTGAAGTCCTATCTTCTCTGGATGCTTCTTCTGCCAACTTGTCGCTTCTCACTTGCATATCTTCCAGTTTGTAGGAAATCAGACATATACCATCGGCGAAATCCAGATCCTCCAAATTCCTTTTCGTGTGGGTCCATTTTATGCCTGTCTCCTGGCTGCCCACTGTGTTTCTGTCTCATTATACAATCTACTGCAATCAGGAAAATCGTTGGACATAGTAGGCAGCCAGCTTGTCTTACTTCCGTCTTCACCTCTCAGAATTCCGTAAGTTTCCCGTTATGGATTACTTGGCAAGCAGCATTATCGTACAACTGTTGGATGAGATGTATAATTGTCGATGGCACTCCGTAGTAGCGAAGTAGTCGCCAAATCACCTCTCGATCGACGCTGCGCTACCGAAGGCCTTTTCAAAGTCGATGAAGTTGAGATAGAGAGGTGACTGCCATTCCAGGCTTTGTTCAATGATGATCCATAATGTGGCGATCTGATCAATACATGACTTATTTCTCCTGTATCCAGCCTGTTCCGATCGATGTTTTTCATCCATTCTGTGTTCATTTGATACTATCTTCCATCAAAGGGTTTGCACATTCTCTTGGACCCGTAGATCCCATCCATGAATCTGTTACAGACTATCTGATGCTAATCGAAGGGTATATATTTTCTCATTCAGGGTTGAATCTGATCTAGAATAAAAAGGTCTATGGACTTGTATTTACTCCCTACTGTTGTTATGTATCATATTCTCACCACAGTGTCTTTATTTTTTCAGTATAAACTGGTCATATGTCGATTCAACGCATAAGTTATGATTAGTGCAAAATAGAAACAATTCAAGTGTCATGTGAACGAATTTGTTTTCACCACCTGAAAGTAATCGCATACACCTCATATTCATATATTGTCTAAATACATGATGCTAAATGCTACTGATTATTCGAAATGAGTAGTTTGATAGCAACCATATCAACGAGTAGTGCTTACTAACCAGATCGAAGTGGTCTAAACACTGTGCAGATCACACCTTGTCGTGGTCTTGATCATTTCAGTTTCCGGAGAAAACTATGATGAGATTTCATGTAGAAGTGTGTAAATCACAAATCGCGAATTAATAAGTTTGCAAATTGTCAGTGTGACTCATCGTCACCTAGTTACTTCATGAATAATTTGCTTCATTGAATGTGTGTGTGTGAATGTGACATGATCGTGTTGCTTATTGAAAAAATAAAATGAGGCATTCATCCGTCTTTCTTCATTCTATTTCTTCGTTTCTTTGGTTTCGCTTTTGAATACACCCTCCGAATGTACCAAAACAAATTGAAGCTGATTATTCAAATACGAATCTGTCAATATTTTCATTTGATCTATTTCAAGAATCCCCATTGGAATTGTAAGCTATACAGTCAGTTTTTTTTTTGCGTTTCTTTATTTACCGGATTTTCAAAATTTATTTATATAAACAAATGTGTATGTGTGTATGTGTCAGTGCATGTGTCTGTTGGTTGAATTCTATCAATCGGTGCCTTCCCCCCGCCCCCCCCCAGTAACCAGTCAGTATAGCCATTACTTTCCAGCAGGAGGTCAGTCGTCAAACCGAATATCCTAGTGGTAACGTCTCTGACTACAACACTGGGTGGCGCGGGTTTGAAATTTAAAGGGTTGACATCAGTTTCTTTTAGTTTGCAGATACATCTTATTGAAGAATTTCACTAAGCACAAAGCTTAGGTCCAACCGTGTATATATACGTATTTGCTGAGATTTCCTCAAAAAGTCGGTGGTTCAGAGGTAGAACGCGCGACAATCACGCATTTGGCCCGGGGTTCTATCTGCGGTAGTAAGGCTGTCAAAGAAGGAAAGTTGCGCATGAGGCTAGCAACCCCACCCCATAAAAATAAAATCACTGTTACCGAAACTTCAAAGCTCCAGCTTGAAGCCCTATGTGTTCCACTCGGGATATAAAGCAATACAATTTTTAAAAAACAGGTTTTCTTTAAAAAAGAAACAACTAAGGGTTGTAAGACAATTTATGATAGGTATACGTTGATATCACTGGTTTGTTTTGTTTTGTTTTGTTTACTTAATAGATCCTTCAATTTAGCTACCACTTGGCCATCAGTACCGAGTCATGCAATCACTGAGAAACCATCATGGAAGTGAGTTTGATGCACCTACATACGCCTAACTATTTTCTCCTTATCTTATATGGTAGTTATTATTTACATTAACTTTGGTCAGGATTTCTATTTTCATCATATTTCTAACCACGTTTATATGGGTGGTTCTCGTGGACATTCTAACAACCAAACCAAGCCTCTGTCTATCGTATATCTTCACGTGTCACTTGAAAAGAAAGTAACTAACCATAATAGCAACAGCTGGACCACTACTAATCTATTTGGTTTATGAGGTGTGATTTCAACATCACAGCGGTAGAATGCTCATCAACCACGCCTCATTTAGTTCGGGGTTTCAATCCCTCCCCCCCCCGCCGCCAACGCACTCCTATACCTGCCTAAACCAGTAATAAGACAAGTAAAGAGGGAAAGTTGAACATGAGGTTGGCAACCTCATCCCACAAAAATAATAAATGCCCACTACTACGGAAACTTCAAAGCTCTGGTTTGAAGGCCTATGTTCCACTGTGAATGCAAGTGAATAAAATAAATAAATAATAAATGTAGAAGATGTGCCGTAATTCCTTGGATAAGGTGTAAAACCACACTGTTGATATGCCTAATGAATGTATGTTTATTTGAACATTATTTACCTTCTGCTTTACCCTAGTTTAGTCCTGCCTTAACGTCTATGGTGTTATAGATAAAAGACGAGGATACTTTACTTTAACCGAAGACAAATTTATCGTTTTCAAAAACACACATACACACACACACTTGGAATGAGTATAAGATGTAAAAAATAAACTAGTGGATAATCTCATCCGATAATAATAGATGAATGAGATGTAAATACTTGACTAGGTGTACCTTCGTTCCATATCCCCTACACAGTATACACTAATTACTGGATTATTGTTTAAGAGTGCAAAGCTTTTTCTAGGTATTTATACGTGCGTCGGTGGCACAGTGGTTAGGACCATGCACATGGTCCGGGGTTTGATCACCGGCAGACGCACACCTGATATCAATGGTCGGCCTGCAAAATTTGGGTTACCGATATCACATGCTGAAAATTCCATACTTTTACCAAAAATACTGTGTGGTTTCTAAGCTCTAATAAAAAAAAATAAGACAAACAAATATTGTGAAGTGATTATGTAAGCATTTATAACAAACAGTGTAGTTTAGTTGATATAACCGTTAATACACTTTGCAACTTGCGCTAACGAATTTTCTAACTAGTCGATTCGTCAGCCTATTTTTTTCTTACAGCAAAGTTAATCTTTAAGCACCAGTAAGTATCAACAGACAAATGACCTTGAACGCACCAACCACATGATATGATATAGGCGATTTTGCGTACATACAAGATACATGTATTCATGAAAATAATGAATAAAAAGACATGAAATTGTTACACAGACACAGGATACCTTCCTCTACCGTGACAAAAATACCTCTCAGTATTGAATTGGAGTGTCGACAGAGTAATTTAACCACATTCTATGCATAAAATTATCTAGGTCTTCTAACCCTGCCCTAACAATAACCCTAATCTTTCTTTAACCTAGCCCTAACGTGAAAATATCTCTAAACTAACCCTATTCTGATTCTAATGTCGCCCTCATTAGGTTAACCTAACCCTAACGTGTCCTTAGCCTAAACCTTAACTTAATCTTTTCCAAACCTAAGTTTAAACTTGCCAGATATCCCATTTAATAACATAACACTTCTCATTGAGCATATTTTATTCATGATTGCAATTTTATTTACTAGGTTTCACTAACTTGTTCGCTGAGCGTTTCAAGGTCATCGGTGCGGTCGCACTGCGCTAGTACCCAAAGTTTGATTTGGCGGTTCTAAACACTATTAGCAACATTAACGTGATGCGATACCACCGAAATAGCGGAGCGAAATGACGAGGAGAAAACAAACTATTGACGTGGAGAGCTCTTACTGTCTCTTATCAATAGTGGAAAATGATTGACGGCGCTTGGGTTTATATATGCTTTAAATAACCTTGAGAGACATTAATTACATTAATAAATTAAAACACTCAACAACCAATAGCATTTCAGGATCATGAGTGGAATGAGAGAAATACAAGCAGGCGCGGCAAAGTACATGTAGAAAATTAGGCCTATAATGTCTTAAGTTTCTACTATAAGTCCTCTGAATAGACCGTAAACCTGTCAACTGAAAGGATCAAGAGAAATTACTGAATGTAAGAATATTAGAACGTGTCTGAGTATCGATTGCAGTAATCGCGACTTATTTATACTCTTGTAGAAGTGTGGCTGATTAACGTAGACACTTGGCTACAGATCACTGAGTCATAGATTCAAATGCCACTCCATCTACCGAGGTTTAGACAGCCAGGTAATATCATCTTTAGACTTGACAAAATTGATGTGACCTCTTGCCGTCTGCTTGTGGCTATCATAAAAAAATTGGAGAAACTTATTCGTGTGAAGAGTTAGCATTTGTTAGTATCCAGCTGTGCAAATTAGTGTAACCTATACGCACCCAACTAGGATTTCCAATTAATTATGAATGAATTTCGTCAAGTATATTAGTCCACATTCAGGCAGGCAGCAGGACCAGACGGGATTCCTCCCGAAGCTCTGAAGACGGCCCCAGAGATTACGGCAGTTGTTCTCACTCCATTACTGCAAAAAGTTTGGAAAGTAGAAAAGGTGCCTACTGATTGAAAGAAGGACTACCTCGTCAAACTGCCAAAGAAAGGCGAGTTAGGCCTGTGCAAAAACTGGCGTGGAATCATGCTCTTGTCCACGCCAGATAAAATACTAAGTCGCATCATCCTGGAGAGACTCAAAGATGCAATGGAGGCAGACATCCGCCACTTACGGGAACAACCTGGATTCAGGAAAGGCAAATCATGTGCTGATCAAATCGCAACTCTACGCATCATAGTTATCCGACGAAGCATACAGTGGCAGTCAAACCTGTCTATACCTCAACTTCCTTCACCACTTAGAAGGGGCCCTCATCAGATTATGTTGGCCGAGAAATAATTCACAAACTGCTTCAACACTACGGCATGCAATGCCCAAGTCATTGTCAACCTTATTCAACATTCAGGTTGGTTCGAGTTAGATTATAGTTAGTTTAGGGATATTTTGACGTTAGGATTAGGTTCAGAGAAGATTAGGGTTATTGCAAGGCTAGGCATACGTAGCACATGTCCTAACCATCTCAATCGGTGTAACTTCACAATCTCATCGACTGATTTCCTCTCATCACCTAGCACTCGAAGGAGGCCTAATCTCAATATTGCTCACTCTATTATACCACTTCACATGGGAGATAGGACGCAGACACCTATGATCAAAGACAGCTAGCCGTTTTCTTTCTTCCACTTCCAATAGCCTTGTCTCACAGCCATAAAAGAGGACGGAGCGAACTGTGCTGCTGAGGATTACACACGGCGTCCAGTCGACAGCCAGCCGGATATCACGTCTGCTAGACCAGAGGTGGCGTAAGTTGGCATTTGCGAAACGAGCCGTCTGTATCCGTATCCGTGCTGAGATTTCGTCAGCGATCAACCAGTTGGCGTTGGCTGATGCAACTTCTCAAATAAGTGAAGTGGTCAACACGCTCCACAAACCACTTCACTCCCTATTTCTAAACTAGGAGTCAGTGTAGTCCAGTCAGTCCTGTAGCATCATCTTACATTTGACAGCACGAGCGAATCTCGCATGCCAAACATTCGCAGATTGCAGATCCTCAAGGTGTTCAGAAGACTCTGCATTTTGTCAGCGTCCTCGCCTAGAAGGACTATATCGTCTGCATATTCTAAGTCAACGAGATTACTCCGTGGTAGCAAGTCAATCTCTGAGTCTCTGAAGTGAGTTAGAGTTAAGTCCATAAGTACATTTATGATGAGATTGAATAGAAATGGGGATAGTGGGTATCCCTGTCAGGCACCACTAGTTGTCGCCAGTTCAGATGACATTTCGCCGTAAGCGCTAACCTGGCTGACTGCATGGGTTCGAATAGAGTGCCTTGATCAGTGCAATGTACTTTGTCGGCATTCCTTTTACAGCCAGTCATCACCATATTACCTCTCGGTCGACAGAATCCAATGCCACCTTCAGGTTAAGATTTCTGACGATTGTTGGACGCTGACGGTAAGTATGCCTATGTTCCGTTCCAGAATCTGTCAAAGGATGAAGATACGATCAATACACCCTCTTCCTGGTCTAAAGCCTGTCTGGTTTTCTTGTGTTTGTGCTTCCGAGCAACACTTAGTCTATGCATGATTACTGAGCCAAGGACTTTAGATACTATATTAGTCAAGCTAATCCCTCTGTGATTATCACAGGAAGACTTGTTTCGCTTCTTGTATATGGGGATAATCAGTGACTTACACCAACCCGACAGGACTTCCTCTGATTCCCAGACGCTGCCTAGTACCTCAGTTAATGCAGACAGTAAACTGTCTCCACCGTACTTAAATACCTCTGGAGTCATTCCATCAAGTCCTGCTGCTTTGCCTTGTTTCAGACTAGTGACAGCTTTGGTAACCTCAGTTAGGGACGGAAGACCTGTGTTTATATCCCATTCAGGGAGGTGTTGGATGTTAGGCAGGTTGAGCGTGGTGTAGGCCAATTAAACTGCTCCTCATAGTGTTCTTTCCAGCGTTCCAGTCAGTATATTGTTAATTATCAATCGGCAAAGCAACTTCACATCTCTTGTATGATTTTTTTCTGCCTTACAGATCTCTAAAACCTGAAGGTGCTCCAGAATGGCAATTACAAATATGCTCAAGTAGTCAATTTGTTGATAGAATGAGTAAGTTGGCGTTTACTGTTTTCTATACCTACCTACCTACCTACCTAATCTCTTTATACGGATGCTAGTTATCTAAGTAATAATCGCATCAAATTGCTTGATCTCTGTGTCGGCATGTTGCCTCCTAGCGCGGACATTTCTAAGATGCCTTCAGGTTAATGCGAAATTCAAAAATAACTTCAGTCAATAAGAACTAGTACACGTTAATGTAAACATGAAGTTTAACTGGTGGCTGGCTCACTATATTAGTGAATAATACCTTCACATTTGAAACAATAGTTGTAGAGTCTGAAACGATTTGTTTGTGCAGTTTTTTGTTAAATGTTAAAAATGGAAACATTGTGCATAACTTTTGTTCAAAACTTTTGTTGCTAAACTTTCTATGTTACCAGCAAATATTCTGAGTATTAGGAGACGTCCTGGTCTGCTGTCTTGAAAACACCCGTTGAGATTGCCTTGGCCTGGAATGTGGTCTACCACATCGTGCACATAGGCTAGACAGTTCAATTGTCAACGTTTCCATCCTGTTTGCTATTGCTGGAAGAGCTAATAATACAGGTGTGTCTGCAGTAGACGCAGCCTGAACCGGTTACTCATTACGGTGGATGGGTGGTGACATGATTAGTATATAGACGTACAAATATATATATATATATATATAATATGCAGTCAAAAATAAAAATGATAACAATATAAATATACAGTTTATAAAGCTAAAAATGTTCGAACGGGCTCACCAATTAATTTGTAGGGGACTTAACAACGAGCTCGGTAACGGTTAAAATATTAGAATAAAAATCTAAGTTAATGAAATAGTATTATAACGGTATATATATTATAGAAAAATACAGCTAACGAGTTCTAGAAATTACTGGTTAATTGTTGATACAGTTAAATTTCGCTTCTACAAATTATAAAATACAATCCACTGAAGCGTTCACTGCTGCAGTCGTGTCTGCTAGTAGAAGCTTGGCACCGGTTGTAACATAGTCTCCGGGTGAGGATGAGAGGTTCCTGCAAAAATCCAAAGGAAACAACACGGTTAGTAGTGTGAAGCAAGTGGACAGTATGGATCAGTGAGAAGATGAATCGTCGAGCAGCACACTGTATTTTAGATAGTACTCCCCCTTCTTGCGAGTTTCACTGTCAGACACTACTAACCATATGTTGTATATCATGATTTGACACCAGTTTTTCCCCTGAAATCTGTAATGATTTGAATATGACATCATGGCAACTTCAAAGAGATTTTATTTTGTATGCCACGAGCATGTGCTGTTAGTAGTCAATTTCGTGGAGCGAAGTAATTGAAAATCCGAATTTTCTTAAGTTAAGTTAAGTCGATTGCCTGAATATTTGAAACTCCTAAACTGAAGCTATTTTCACCCTTAGAAAAGCACTTTTTCAGCATCCTTTCATTGATACCATCTACAGTAGGAGCCATTTCTTTCCAATAATTTCATTGAAGACTGGATGACTATCAACCCGACATTTCGCTTTTATACTTGAAACTTTCTGTTTAATCTGATTATATTGTTGCCTTTAGCTGGACCAGCCTTTTTGCGATATCATGATCAAAAGCAAATGGTGTTGTCAATCGAAAGTCTGCGATATTCATCAGAACTTTCCTAAGCAGCAAATTTGTTGCCTAAGTGTCATTTATCTAAAGCATACTATTTCAAGCGCGTGTATTTTCACAATTAGATAATGACAATCCTATACAACTTATGACCAAATGCTTAAAAGTATACAGTGATCATCACTTGATAAGTGCTCAGTTTCTAAAATCTGTTAAACAACCCTAAAACCATCGGGTTGTTTCATTTGAAAACGAATATTAGTCAGATTCTGCTGAGTTAATTTCGCATACATATTCGTCCACCTTGATATCACCATGTTATAACAACCTTTTATGGTGTCCAATAGATACAGGTACAATATGCTTTCAGGATTTCATCATAAGCTGACATCGGTTAGAGAGGGATTGAAAAACCTTCAGGGAGTACTGGACAGCTTTCCCAAACTAGGACAACAAAAACAGCTTTCCAATACTCCCTGCAGCTTTCCCAATGCTTTTCTAACCGATGTCAGCTCATGGTGAAATCCTGTATTAGTATCATTATTATTATTGTTCCCTTGGGTTCCTAGTGGAACATAGGGCTTCAACTGCACGTCTTCACTTGCTTCTGTCTTCTGCTGTACTTTCCACCTGCATCCATGTTAGTCCATACTCTTTCAACTCTTCTTCACACGATCTCCTCCATGTCACCCTTGGACGTCCCACTCGCCGCTTCCCTTTCGGGTTCCACTCGAGTGATGGCCTGACGCGTGATGTCACCCAACGGCCTCCTCAGCGAGTGTCCAATCCACCTCCACTTTCTCCTGCATATTTGTTGAGCGATTGGTTCTTGTTTTGTTTGTTCCCATAGTTTCTTGTTGGTTCTTGTTCTTTCCGGCCATCTAATCTTCAGTATAGAGCGAAGACAGTCGTTGATAAAGAACTGCAACAGGCTGTTGGAAATATTCTTTGTGACCCACCAAGTTTCTGATCCGTATAGAAGAACTGACTGACTTGACTTTTGTATTGAAAATCCGAATTTTGTTGTTGATGCAGGCTGAGTGACGAAGATTTCCAAATTGGTTTCAGGTTGACGAATGTGTTTCTTGCCTTTCCGATTCTCGATTTGACATCCTCGTCCGTTCCTCGTGTAGTTGAGACAGTGCTCCCTAGATAAGTGAATGAAGTAACCTCTTTCAAATCCCTCTCGTTGATGGTGATTGGCACCATGTAGCCAATCATATCCCTACACACCAACACGCACTATGCGCTGTTTTATTTTATTTTATTTGTGACTCACTGACTTAATCACTCAACTTTGAATCGATGGGACTTAGGTTCAAATCCGACTGTAGCTTACTTCAACTTGGGCAGTCAGATAGTATCCTCAATCGGCATACAGTAGTAGTAGTCTGATAAATGAGAAATCTTTGTTCCCTGTTATAGGGTTTATAGGGGGGTCTATCTCGAGTACACTATCCTAACTGCTTAGTAGCAAGTAATATGCTGCAGTGTTGTCATCTTATCCATTGCTTTTTATTGAAGAGAGAGAGAGAGTCTACTGATGCCTATTGTATTTCAGGTAAACGGATTCAACGTCTTTTGGAACAAGATCTTATTTTTTCGGATAAATCAAGTCAGCCTACTGATTCCTTATCAGGTAGTTAGTATAGCATGAATGGTAACATAAACCATAATTTTTTTTTGTTAATATATGTTCTCTATATTATTAACTAGTTTGTGTATTGTGAAATCCATTTTTATCATTAATTTAAATCAGCGTGGCGAATCTGGATGGAGATTTTAATTGGAATAGTTTATTTTTATAGACCTCATGGTGTAGCGGTCAACATTATGGACTCAGAATCCAGCGACCCGAGTCCGAGTGTTGGCAAGGCCTCGAGCTAAACACTTCTGTGCTTCAAGTGGTCTGGTGGATAACGCTTTGTGCGCGTGGGTAGCTCAGTGATAAAATGCTCACCAACCATGAACGTGGTCCGGGTTTCGATACGCGTCTGACACACTCCTAAACCTCGCTTAGCCGGTCGTAAACCCTGTAAGGTGGCAACACTCCCTCTCCGTACAAATTAACACCACCGCACTTAATGACATATCCACCGTTTTCTTCTTATGTCTTGTGTGTAGTTTTGCCCCTCCCCCCCCCTTCACCTAAACATTTATTCAGAATCAATCTTTTATACTCTGTTAACGTTTATATAAATATGTCTGACAAATATGTGTGTGTGTGTGTGGTCAGAATGTCTGAAGTGTATTGCACAAATACATCTCCTTACTGCTTTCTAGAAATTCATACAGTGAGCTAATTGCTTTAAGCAGGTGAAGTATTGAAGATGAAAAGCGCATTGAAGAAACAACTGGAATAAAATACACACAAAAAAAGATTTCATCAACTTATCTTTGATAATTATTGAATTTGTAATTTAGGAGCATGAGAAGCTTTAAATGAGCTTTTGTTTGTATCTATTTTTTCTCATTGAAAGATTAATCTTGTTTTCTGTTAAATAAACTAAAGTGTAGAAGAATCTGAGAATCTCTAAACTCTTTCTTTAAAAATAATATTCACTTCACAACATTAGTGTTGTTTAAATAACATCGAATCAATGATAATAATAATAATATCAATGGATTGCAGTTCAGTAGTATCAACATAACAATACACTGACTGAATATCAGAGAAATTATGCAAACTAATTAAACAAATTCATGAATTTATAGTCCCCACTGAAGGTCAGTCAGAGCAGTAGTAGTGGCTAGCTGGACTTGCTTCTTTTGCACACAGAGCAACGGTTGTTTAATGCAAATCCCGATAGCCTCTGCTGTTTTCAGTATGTGGTACCTGGATGTTTTTGGAGATTTATTTGGTACTTGATAGATGATGGAGAAGGATTCTTCAATATTAGCTTTGTGGTCGGTTTGGACCAGCTGTTCAGTATGGAGGTATTGATGTTTCTAACTACACCGTTATCTGGTCACACTGGTAGATAGATGTTCCCGAGCACGAAAAATCAAGTTCCTGGAGTAACAGCCAATGTAACTCGCTCCTCCACAAGCGCAGTTGAATTGGTAGATACATTTAGAAATGGCTAGTTCAGGTACTTCGTCTTTCAATTGAGGGATCATCATCGATCGTGTGGAAGATATGACTTGTAGCTTGTCAGCATTAAAAGTTTTGTGAACTGATTTTGTTAACTTCATCGTCAATAGTTCCCTTGAATTTCAGTCGTATGTATGTGTAAATAGGCTTCTTGTTTACCGTTAGTGAAAAGTCCATTTCAGCTTTCTTATTCATATGTTCAGGAATAGATTGACGCTAATCATTTGTTTTCTCTGTTTGTTATTCTTCACCTTTTTCATGCAGATTACAATCTGTCAAGCGGTTCTGTCCTACAGTTTCTACTAGTAAGGATTTACGATTTGTTGTTGTTGCCTTGTTATTTCTCCCATACATGCATTAAAGTTTTCAATAAACGGGATGCATGAGATGAATCACATCACATACAATAAAGGTATCATCAGCATACCTTATGTAAAAATATCATTTCTCTGATTGTCCCGTATGTTTTCCATAAAAATATCCGTCACTGTGGGGTGGAACCCTGTAAACCTCATATCTCCATCCTATCAATCTGACGATAGAGTATGTTCGAAACTAGAGTTGTATGTAATTAGTGCATTCCCAGTGAAGATCGGAATTCTGGTTTATCACACTCATAGTTTCACAAAATGGGAGTAAGTGGGTGATTGAGGAAGAGTTGCATCAAACGATGCTGTAGATCTCTTGAGAACATCCCACAAAGAAAAATTAATTTCACCATAGAATATTTGAAGTGGACAGAAAATTCAACATTCCGGTTATGACTTGCCTCAGAGATCTATGATTGAAAAAGTAAATGGAGTGGAAGTTACCTGGATATCAACAGGCTGTTTCAATTAACCTCAAAGAGGGAGTAATAAAAATATCATTGCTTAGGGCGAGAATAATATGCTCGAAAGAAAAACTGGAGAATGCGCTGCAAATCATGTAAGTGTCTACGAAAGAACAGATATCCGCAAAGATTCACCGACAAATTGGGAAGAAAAACGGATGTAAGGTGATTAAATTACCTCAGTTATTCATCAACCTAAAATGTAAAGGTAATGACATTGCAGAGATAATCACGAGACGACTTGGGGTATTTCATTCCACTGGATTGATTCCTGTGCACCAGATATGTTCGTTGATTCAGTAGAAAGTCAAAAGATACCCTTACTGTGTTAGCTAGCTTCAACTGTGCGTATCAATTTACGTGTAGCTTCCATAGGAGATACATTGAGGCATCAGAAAGAAGGGTCTGTCTTAGATTTCCTTAAGACACTGAAAACTCTGTGAGCAAAGGGAATTTAATGTTTGTGCAACAAAGTCACCGTGGTGATACATAATTTCATATTTCATACATTTGGTTCCCTTGATAAATTTCGATAGAGAAAGAAAGACCAGATTTGCAGTATAAAATGATATCATTCTATTTCACAGGTTCTCATCAGCTGCAAACTACCTGAAATTACAATGGTTATAAATAATAACATTTCATACTTCATTGTTTGAAAGGTAATACAGAAAGCATTATAAGATAAACGCATCCGGAATAGAAGGATTAGAATTTTTGTAGTTTAAGTTACCATCAATTTATATACTATCAAACTATGAAAAAAGGAAGAAAAAAGGAGGGGTGAGGGAAAACAGAAAAATCTATTAAAGTGTCAACATGGCAACTCAACAAGGTCAAAGTTCATCAATTTGAAAACTTGCTTAGTGAGTTGAACTCACTAGTGTCTATGAGTAATCAGTGTAATGAAAGTGATATGGTTACCAAGGGAGTGAGAGATTGACTACACTCTCTTTCTGTGTGCATAAGTTTGGTCTGAGACGTTTGATTGCAATTGCTTCAGCAAATCGTCATAGATTCGCTGTCCTTTGTATGTTTAATATTTTGAAGGATTTGGAAATCTCGACAAAATGGCCCGTATCCACAAGGTGTCTGGTAGTTGGACTTTGTAAATATTTGCTTCCTTTTAAGCATAATTTTCTCGGAATATGCTCTGAAAACCGGATAGAAGCCCTTCTTTCTGTCCTTCCGATGTACTTGCTGCCGCAGGTGCACGTAAATTTATAAATGCAGTTGGAGGTAACATCAGCAGGGTAGTTATCCAGTTTCGATTGGCTTATAGAGCATGTAGTACTGTATAGTGTCACTAGATTGGCTGCAGGGAAGCATCTCTTGATTGCTCCTTTCATCTTTTTTTCAATCTTTTGAGATACTGTTTCTCCTTTGTATGGGAGGCAAATGAACACTTTCTTCTTTTCAAATGTTGGATACTTCTCTTTCTCATCTCTTTCTTTGCTGTACTGTAGGATAAAGCCTTTTGGATACCCGTTTTCCTTAAGGCATTTTTCAACAAAGCTAAATTCTTCTTCTATCTTGTTGGGCGAAGATAACTTCCTAGCCCTGTCGTACAGTGTCCTTACTAATCCCCGCTTATAGCTCATAGGGCAGAAGCTGTTGTAGTGAAGGTATTGTCCAGTCCAAGTTTCTTCTTTGTAGATGGACTTTTCGACCGTTCCATCGTCTCTTCTTTTTACACTTAGATCTAGGAAATTGAACTCATCGTTGTGTTCGTATTCCATGGTGAATTTAATGTTTGGATGCACCTCATTTAGGCGGTCAAATAATACGGATGCCTGACTCATGTCGTTACAAACAACAAAAGTAGCATCGACGTATCGATGGTAGTATGTTGTTCCATTGATAGTGTCACTCAGTCGCGTCTGTTCGAGATAGCCCATGAAGATGTCTGCTAGAATGGGTCCTAGAGGTAAACCCATGACGACCCCATCGATTTGTCAGTAGAATTCGTTATTGAATCTAAATTGGATGTCTTTTGTGTGCGTCGGTGGCACAGTGGTTAGGACTCTCGCCGACCATGCACATGGTGCGCCGGCAGGGGGCGCACACCCGATATCTATGGTCGGCCTGAATTTGGGCTACCGATATCCATGCTGAAAATTCCACACTTGTACTCAAAATACGGTGTGGAATGAAGCTGTAAATCAAAAATAAAAAAAATAAGAATTAATAGTCGTTTCATCTCTGACTCCGGTAATAGCAATAGATCTGTTTGTTTACAAATGATATCCATTGTTTCCATCACTGGTACATTTGTAAATAAGGCAGTCACGTCGTATGACACCATTAGTTTATTGGATATGTCAACGTGATCGACTTCTTTAGAAAATTGGAAGGTGTCATCCAAGCTATGATTTGAAGATTTTTGTCGAATTGGCTTCAACGAATCAGCTAGCCATCGAGGTAGTTTGTGGCACGGTGAGTTTATCATTGATAGTATGGGTCTTAAGGGCACATTGGCCTTATGGATTTTTGGTAGACCGTACATAAATAAGAGTCGTCCACCCTTTGACTTGAGTTCATTGTAAGTTTTGTTGTCGATCGGTTTCTTGATGAGTAGTTCTTTGAGGCATTTATTCACTTTATTTTTGAATGACGTTGTTGCATCCTTCTTAGTTTTGTCCACCTGAAATTCTTCGGAGTCGTTAAGATTTGTCAACATTTTATGTACATAATCAGTTTTATTCATTATAACAACTCCAGAGCCTTTGTCGGGTCTAAACATGACGATGTCATCATTTTCACATAGTCTCCTTGGTGCCGCTCTATGCTCCTCAGTAAGCATATTTTGTTTTTCGGATGGTGATGTGTGGTACTGGTTGGCTATATCAACCAGTTTGGACTTTAGCCATCCTCGTTTGTCTTTGTCCACAGGTTGCAGGTCAGCAAGTTGATATTATAAGTATTCAAACTGCGTTTCTGTATCTATACGGTTTATGTGCTTTTTAGGGACGTGAAACTTGAATCCCAAGGATAAAGCTTCTAATTCAATTTTGCTTAATTGTAAATTTGACAGATCACAAAAATAACGTTCAGGTGCTTCTGGGAAGTCTTCAGTTAACTTTTCCTTGACTAATGCTTTTGTCAGTTAGTTTTCATATTCTTTTGCAGTTCTGGACTGTAATTCTTTACCGAAGTTCATGAATTTGAGCCAGCAAATAATATTTAGGTCATTTATTAAGGTATCATAAGTAGCCAGATGACACTTCAGATTGGAAAAATATTTGTACGAGGATTCAATATGAGACTTTGTTATCCGACGAAGGTTCTTTTGGGTAGGAGGGAGTTTAGATGTTCGGAGTTGTTTCAAGAATTGTCGTGGGAAACAACCTGTTTGCAGACATTGTTCGTAGAACTTGATCTTTGTCAACTCTCTTGATATTCTGCATCGCAAAGTCACTACCTGATTCAGTGACTTAATAGTTTTGGCAGGGAGGCGTCTTTTCAAAAATTTCATACATTTGGTTCCCTTGATAAATTTCGATAGAGAAAGAAAGACCAGATTTGCAAAATAAAATGATATCATTCTATTTCACATTCTTTTTCGTATTTAATAAGTTTGACTGACTGACTAGTGTCAGCGCAGAGCTTGGCGCAGATGTGCAGTAGTTCGAGTTGCTACATTCTCTCCTTGTAGCACACAAAGAAACAGAAGGGAATAAAGAGCGATTCAAAAGAGAGGTAGTAAACAGAAGTTCCAGTGAGGGGAAAGGAATATGGAAGAACAGTAGATTTTCATTGAATGTGATAAATTACAAAGAGTGAATGTATCTGCACCATCGAGAACGACTTTGAGCTATATCAACGATTGCCTCCAACCATTGGTTTTCACCATCCTGAGGACCTCAACCAGACAGCAGTTTAACACGTCTCTACGTGGCTGGCTGGCTTATATTAACTGCTGTGGATTTCATTGACTAGTGAAGCCATGTTTTGGTTTGACCACCACTAGCTCTTTTCCAACCTATGGCAGCTAACACTGCCCGTCGAGGAGGGCGATGACTAGGGATACGTAAAACATGTCCTGACCATCTCAATCGATAAGTAATTAATAATTATATTTGGTATAACACACAGAGGTTCAGTGTTAATAACTGCACGACGTTTCGAGCTCCGGTTTTTGCTCCAACATGACCATGTCATCACATTGATGTGATTATGAATAATGTTGTGCCATACTGTGTCACGTCAAATAAACTTATTTAGTATCGAAGATGTTTTTCTTGGACATATTAAGGCAGTTTGAATCTTCGAATAACTAATTCTTTAGGTATATTCATATCTTTTTATTTCGCCCCCTCTTTGAGTTTGGCCTAACAAAAGTGCATTAGTTCAAGTTGCTACTGTCTGAATAAACTTGTAGAGGATTTTTGAAATGCAGCTATGTGAATTAATTTCATATGGTGTTCTCTTATTCAACTGAGGATATGTTTCGGCTGAGTGAGTATTGTTCTTGAATGGAGGATAGTCATGCATGACGTAATCAAAAGCTACAAAAAACCGAATGAACCTTTGATTTTGTTATAATTTTGTGGTTAAAGGGAATATTTTTATGTTCATTTTCCCTTATTATTGTTACTGTTATTATTATCATTATTAATATTCACAGTATTTTTATCCCTGACCACGAATACCTTTCTCACCTATTTATTACATGTTTAAAAGTGTGCACGTGTTAGTGAATTAGATCACTTCATTCTAATAATTGCTTTGGTTTTTTTCCTATGCTAACTAATTTCCTTGACAATACACCTAATCTTAGTTTCGAATACTATTTAGTTTCTTTTTCCAGACGCTGATTCTGAAGGTTTGTGCAATAATGTTCTTCGTAGTGAATTAACATCTCCTTTTACAAATCCTACTTCACATGAATTATTAGTTTGGAATCGTAAACAATTATCATATTCAGATGTAAGTTGTGTATCTTTTTTGTTTTGTTTTCATTCCTTTGTGTTGGATGCGTAGGTCTTCAGGATTTAAGCTTGGAAGTGTTTCAGTAGCGGTGATATTAAAAAAAATTTATTACCAGAGGTAATTGCTTACCGTACCCCTCAACCTCCTCTCTTTCCTGGGCTTACCAGTGACTGACTAGCTGAGGTTAAGAAGACTGTCTCAGTTAGGAATTGAACCCGGACCGAGTTTAGCCCGACATTCAACCATTTTGGACCACTGATCCAATTTTTCGTCTGAATGTTAACCAAAATATCACTGTAGATGAAAATACACACGAATGAATGCCTAGAATCCTGAAAGAATGGTACAGAAAGACACACACACCATATGACAGACACTCTGGTAATGCTCCAATGTTTTGTTTACTCACACTACAGAATTCACACGTTCTGCATGATAGTTACTTTTGTGTCTTATTGTTATCACTTTTTTCATGATTGCAGTGAAATTAATGACTTCACTAGAAACTTTGTCTCCTTTTGCTGAATTAATGTTTCAGTGTGTGTATGTATATAAGGCCAATTTTGTTTGCGTTTGAGGAAATAATTAGCGGTGATTCAAGGTGAAATAAAAATATGTGTCGTGATAGGATTCTAACCGGAAGCCTTTGGATTGCTAACCCCAGGTTAAGGATGACACCCTGTAATCATCATAATGTAGTAGTAATGAGAAAATCTACTGTTCGAATCCTGCCACCAACCAGATTTTCATTTCAGCTTTATTCATTAAACGTTACCTGAATAGAGTTGTCTTCTAATCGATGAATATCTCGAATATTCTCGCTATCACAATAGAGAAATTTGTACAGACAGTTCCACCGGATTGTTTCATCGTACAAAAGTTTTGTTCTTCACTAGTTATAAGTCCTGTTGAATGTGTGTACTAAGAATGCGTCATACGCAAGCTCTGCTTGCTGATCACTGTTTTTCAACAATCCCTCAGTACATAAATTTTGATTTTCATGATTCTTGCTGGTTCGAAACAACTTTTAATTTTCTCGAATTGGATTCTATATTCTTTATTCAAAATTTTACAAAACTTTCCCAGAACAAAATATTTAGAGCGAACAATTGTGGTTTCAATAAATTCTTCTTCAGGCTCTGTAATTATAAATCCATTAATTTAAGCATACAATAGCCAGCCAGTAAAGGCAAATTAGAATCATATCAGAAAGTGTATTGTGGAACATGTATAAGATGGGATGGAACAATAGTCAGATAATTTTTTAATATGCATGGTCAATGAGAACATGGGACAAAATCAGATGAAGTAATTTAATTTAATGATGTGTGCATATATATAAATATAGTCAACAGAAAATACAGGTTTCGAGAGTGTGTGTAATCAGGGTGTGTGAGACAATATGACAACAACATGACAACATTTTAAGTTAAAAAAATTTTTGTTTCCATGCTCATTTTCTGCACACCTGTAATTGGCTATAATCCCGTGTAACTTTGTTACTAAGGCTCTTGTAATCTATATTTGCACCTCCTGATTCCCATCTCAAGTTGAAAATTATTATTTTGTTTCCACGCTCATTTTTACACACTTGATATCCGTTCTAATCCTGCGTAATTTTGTTTCTAAGCCTCTCGTAAAACCATATCTAGTTGGAAATAGTTGTCACCTTTTATTCGCCGTCATAATTATGTAGAATTAAACAAGAATTGTCTCCATGTAAAATTATGTATTTAAATGCGATTGTACAGCTTTTGAAAATGAAATCGCCGGAAAGATCGACATCTTTACTGAACTTCTTCTTCTCAATATGAAAATAAACCAACGAATGGGGCGGACTAGACATAAGTTCAAGGTTGAAAATAACGACAGTAAGAATGATTGTAAAGTAATAACGATGATATGATGGTGTAAAATTACAAGCACTATTGGTGAATGATTGTCAAATAATAATAATGATAATGAATATAATGAAGTGGAATGAACAAGATTTTGTAAATACGATAGCAAGCTAGAAAAGCACTACTTAAACCTAAGGTAATAAAATCATAAGAAAGGTCATGAAATCATAAAAGTCGAAAATGAACGATTGTCAAAGAAACAGGGGAATAGAAGAAGAAGAAAAGAAAATTGTGAAAGGAATTTATAGTGTTAATGGAGGATTTGTTGGCTTTATTGTAGGCCAAGGTAAACATAATGGTTGAATATACTTCTTCTGTATGCAAAGAAATGGTCTTCTGGTATTAAACTTTTCCAGTCGAAAAGACTTATTCCCTCCTCTTATAAATAATCAAGATAAGAATGCATGGTTAACACCATGTTGTGAAGAATTAACTGAACGTCTCCCACTCTAATTCCAGTTGGTTGTGAATATTCCACTGTACCTCCAGTTGTCGATTATTGTTATCTTTCTAGTCTAAACAAGAAAGTATACTTCTTTTTCTTCGTTTCTCAGGATTACTTTAGATCAAGCCAAATTAAAGCTTCCACCTATTTGCCGTTACAACACCAAACAAGCATATATATATAGACAAACAGCTATGAGTCAAGCGTTATATGCATGTTCCAGAACGTTTTTAGTCTAATAATATCCCCGTGATTGTCAGCTTAGTTAGTGTGATGATTCCACCCACCATTGTCCAAACATTGCTTCAAATATCCCGAGAGTAACTTTGATGCATTTTCCATTTTCAGCCAGGATACTTTTGTTACCTTAATTTTTTCGCAAAAGAGACTAGTGCACATTTTCTTTCTCCTTCAGAGTATAGACAGATTTGTTTTGTGTTTTTTTATTATGGTTTCGTCTGCTGTAAATATTCCTTCAAAAGAGTGGTGCTAAAATGTGTTCTCCTGTAAATAACGCTTAGAAACAAACAGTGTTAATCTCTTTGTGTACTTTTTCACTTTCTCAATGTTTCACATCTGTTTTTCTTCCCTTTAAGGTACAAAAATTAGCTGCACATTTTGGTCTACCGAATCCATGCTGTTTAATTCATCGCCTAGCTGTAATAATTGGCAATCTTTTTGTCTATAAGAATTGTGATCTCTCTGAAGTCATTCTGCTCATCAAATCAATGTTCAGTGAATTCCATATTGAATTAAAACTTCGATATGACCGGCTGATCTGCTTGCCATCATTATCATTATATGAGGAGGTATATCGAAATGTTTTATCAGATTCTACGGAAACAACTTCATCATTCATAGATAGTGATAGGCCTAATTTGATGCCATGGAATCAAAGTTCAATGATGTCTGCTAGCGAATTAAAATTCAATGATTGGCCAGTTGATGTTTGCTATAGTTTGGATTATGTTTTGAACAGATTTAATGCGTGTATATTAAAGGGTAGTTTTGTCTCTTTTTTGATTCCTGTTAAAATTATTACTTACATACCCTTTTTTGTGTGATATTGTTAGCAACATTTAGGGAGTTGTTTTTAAAAAAAATCCCTTTACGTTCCCATTGGAACATAGGGCTTCAAGCTAGAAGTTTAAAGTCTCGGTAGCAGTGGTGTTTATTTTTTTACGGGATGGGGTTGCTAGCCTGATTCCCGACCTCCCCTCTTTAACTTTGCCATCGATGACATTCTGGAGTCAGCTCTGAAGGATGTGCGTGAAGGTGGTGTAGATCTGCTACTTGGAGATAGACTTTTCAACCTCGAGTGTGCAGACGATATCGTCTTACTGTGCGATAGCATGCAGGCTGCCCAAATCGCACCTAATCAGTTGGCGATCAGTGCCTGTAAATATGGTATGTGCTTTGCGCCATCTAAGTGCAAAGTACTGTTACAAGATTGGCAGGAGCCTGTACCTGCACTCACTCTTGCCGGTGAACCACTTGAAGTTGTTGATAAGTTTGTTAATAATAATAATAATAATAATTTGCTTTATTCCAAAACAGTACTTGTGATACAGAATGGAATTCTCAGCATTTTTACTACAGTATTGCATCCAGTTAGTACATTATCAATAAATAGAATTCTACATAGATTGAGGAAACCACAGTTCATTATTACAACAGTACATTGGTATGTTCAGTAGCAAAGGTAAAGCTGAAACAGTGTTTGAAGGTGTTAGAAAAGTGGGAGCTGTCTTATTAACTGGCGTAAGCGAAAGAAAGAGACAAAGCAGCACATAACGGAAAAAGAAGAGAGAGAAAAGGAACAGAAAGAAAGGAAATGTTGAACCTATTGATGAAGTGGGTTGGAAAGATGAGATCCAGTTGTACTAATGACTATTTAATGAATTATAGGTGTCACGCCTAATGCTTTCTTTATCACACAGAACGCGAGCTAAGTAGGGTATGGTTGAGTTTTTGTACTTGCTGGTGCGAGCATATAGTTTTCTATATTGGCTTCTGGTTTTACCTGATGAGATGCAAGGGGAGAGTTGTGAATGAAGAGGGTGGTGTGAGTTAGATAAAATGGACTTGGCCCATTTCTCACAGGAGTCCATATGCCTGTCGACCAGAATAATAACAAGCTGGTTAAGTGGCACGTTGCTTACCCTGCTGACAACATTTAACATCCTGCGTAATATGTTATAGTCTTTCTTCAGTAGCCCAGGAAAAACTAAGGGGGAACAATAGAGAATAATAGGCAGGATGCGAGAATTAACGAATTGTAGGAGTAGGGGTTGGGTAATACCAGAATGTTTTAACTTCTTAATGTAGAAGGCAAGACGGAATATTTTCTTAGAAATTGCTAAGATATGAGACGACCAGGAGAGATCAGCAGATAGAATGACACCTAGGTATTTAATTTCCGATTTAGTTTCTATTTCAGTGCCGTCTATTTTGCATACCTCGTGAGAGCCAAACAGTTTGTTTAGGTCGGATTTATGCCTAAAGGTGAAATTGACTGTTTGGCATTTGGAAGGGTTTAGAGTAAGACCATTTTCCTTGGACCACTGGTTGATTTCTGACAGAAATCCATTAAGTTTAGAGCAGTCGCTTTGACATTTGATAGGCAAAGATACAGACAGATCATCAGCGTATTTGACAAAATTAATGTCATTTGAAGATGGTAAGTCGTGTAGAAAGAAGGAAAAGAGAAGTGGGGAGAGTACAGCGCCTTGGGGGACTCCGGCTTCAGTGAGTGCAGCAGAGGATGATTTACCTTTGTATACGGTGTACTGCTTTCTGTTAGAGAAGTAGGAATGCAACCAGTTAGTGACCCAGGACTCAGTTTTCGTCAAAGAGAGCTTATTTAGAAGGAGACATCTGGGAACAGAGTCGAAAGCAGAAGTGAAGTCAAGAAATGTGCAGCGGACGTATTTAGCACCTTTATCTAATGATGAGACGATGTTGTTGTGTAAGACAGCTGCAGCGTCTAATGTACTCCTACCCTGTCTATAGGCAAATTGTTTTGGGTCTTCGAAGTTTTTAAGGGAGGGTTCGAGTTTAAGAAGTACTAGTTTTTCCATAACCTTTAGGAACGGGGAAGTGATGGCAATGGGTCTGAACTTTACGTTCTTGCCATTTCCAGGTTTAGGGACAGGGACAATTTTGATGTCTTTCCATGCATCAGGTACGATATTTTTGGAGAAAGAGGCATTTAGGATGTTGGTTAGTGGAGAACACAACACATCTGCACATTGTTTTAGAACATAGGCAGGTATACCATCAGGACCTAGGCTACGTGAGGGCTTGAGTGTTTTAAGACATTTTAGAACATCAAGAGTATTAAAGTCATGAAAGTTTTCAGCAACATGATAGGTAACATTAGAGGTATTTAAAGTAGAAGGACAGCGTATAAAAGACTGATTAAGAGCATTAACATCATAAGAGGGAAAAGTATTACAACGCTTACTACTACCAGTAATTTCATTAAAAAGTTTCCACATACTGATTGGAGATTTACATGATAAAAGTGTATCATTATATATAGCATTAAGATTTTTGATTTCAGATTTGATCTGAGCATTAATCTTTTTGAGTCCTAACTTGTCTTTGGATTTGTACAAAGTTTCTTTTTTCCTGCGAAGTTGTTTGAGATAAGGAGATGAGAAGCGGTCGAGACGTTTGAATAGAGTTTGTTTGGGACAACATATATCAAGGCAAAACTTGAGATAATCCGTTATATTGACGATTGTGTCATCTAATGAACTTTCATGGAATAAGTCCCAGTTAGTATTTTGTAACATGCACCTTAGATTGAGTAAGTTTTCGGATGAGTAGCATCTTTGTTGTGCTTTCATAGACAGATGCGAGAAGACTTTAATGTGTGTTTTGCTGTAAATTTTTGGTAGAACACGAACAATAGAGTGATCAGAGTTGAGGATCGGTGCACGTTTACGTGCTTCATAGATTCCTTCGTCATTTGTAAAAACTAAATCCAGTGTTTTGTCTAGTCGAGTGGGAAATTTGACAATGTTAGAGTGACCAAGTGCTTCAAGGAAGGAGCAATCTGACGAGTTGAAGTCCCCAGTAATAACAGACAGAGAGTTGTCGAAGTTGGCAGCGGCGAACATGGTGAATTCATCGGCAAAATTTGAAAGATTAGATAGAGAGCAACTTGGAGAAATGTACATGTTTGTGATAAAGATGTGTTTATATTTGGGGAGATGTTTGGGACGACATTTGACGGTGATGCAGTCTATGAAGTCATTTGAGAATGAGAAGCAAACATTATTAGAAATAGACCATTTTGAGTTATTAAAAGTTGCAACTCCACCCCCACTTTTCTTATTACAACATATTCGGTCTTGTCTAAATAGGATGAAGTCCTTTAGAGAGATGAGATTGTCATCGTACAGTTCGTGTAACCATGTTTCTTGTAATGTGATTATCGCAGTATTGTGATAAGTGTCAGTGGACATCAAGGATTGTAGGTACATAATTTTGTTAGGCAGAGAGCGGCAGTTGGTGTTCATTATGACAGGGACCGTGGTTAAGTGTATTGGTGTACGTTTAAGAGCTCTTTGCCAGCCACTACGATGCTTCCTCCTTGGTTTCTTGGGAATATGAAAGTCATTGGGTCGTAAATGAATGATAAAGTTGCGAGAGTAAATAATCCTTTTGGAATTCATATTTGGGTGATAAATAAATGGAGTAAATGGTAGGTTGGATGCAATATGTAGATTTTATGATAGCAGGCCCAAAAATTCAAACAGGCCGCCAAGGTCAAGGTCACAACTGGGTAGTTGTGTGAGGGCTGGCGGAGGGGTGACGGATGAGATTTCCAACCGTATAATGAAGGTTAGGGTGGCATACATCAACTTGAGCCACCTCTGGCGCTGTCGCAACGTTAGCCTGGCTGTCAAAGGTCGGGTATACAATGCTTCGGTGTGGGCTGTCTTGCTCTACGCCTGTGAAACCTGGTCTCTCTGTGCTCAGGATGTGCGGCGACTCTGTGTGTTCGGTCATCGCTGTCTCCGCAGGATTGCTTGCGTTCGATGGCATCATTGCGTGAGTTGAATTTGTTAGAGCATTGACAAATTCAACTCCTGATCCTGAATCACCTGTAGACATGGTTTCTATTGATTCAAACTCAAAATATTATAATGCAGATATAAAGCAAAAATTTTTGAATCCTGATGGCAGTCTCTCTTGTTCTTCGTGTGATGCAAAAATGGATTCTTGGGAGCAAGTAGCCGCTCATATTCGTGGACGTAAACACCAAAGTAAATCAAATGTCAACACAATAGACAGCAAAAATTTGGAAACCACAAACACATTACTAGATGGCGGTGATTCAAAAAGTATTTTCTATCGATGTGAAAATTGTGAAGCGATAGTATTTAGTTCAGCGATGCAAGAACATTTAGAATCTGAAGAGCATAAATTGGAAACTGCCAAAATCCATCGAAGCTCAGTAATACCACATCCCTTAAGTAAAGATGGTTTCTATCATGTCCTACCACTACGGGAATATCGTCGATCCTGTCAAGAAGTTTTGCGTCCTGTATGGCCTTCAGTGAAATTTACTGATGCAGAGGCTAACCTTTTAATGGAAGCAGCGAAGAATGATGATGATTGTATTTTACTCTCGTCGTCATCTGATGGTCGATCACGTGTTGGTTTACATTTAACCAATGCCCTGTTGATAGCTAATCGGAATTTCCCTCCGTCCAATATTTTTGGTAGTCCATTGAAACCAAGTACTAGTACTACTACTACTCCTACTGATATTACATGTGTGCTATGGATTGCACCCGAGAAACCAATGACTACAACTACAAAACGTTCTCATTCTACGTTTACATTTCAGCCGGGTGGTGAAAAAAGTCCATTGATTTTTGCATATCCACCGTTCGATCCGTCAGTCCTATCAGAAACTGATATCGTGAGAACAAATTCTGGTGGCTTTATAACACATTTAGCCTGGTTACTTATGCTGCAAACATGTTCATTCTTTCTCTCTTCAAACTAATAAAGGGAACCGGTTGCATGAGACAGATGCTTGGTTTGGTTAGGGTAATGATGTAACTGCATCATGAATTAACAGAAGTTTGAATTAGGGTGTGTGTGTGGGGGGTGAACCTTCCGCCTTATTAACCGTAAGATAAGCAGTGTGCACTGCATAACGGTCCTTTTTTTTTTCATCAAGAAATCTACCTTAATGTATATGATTTCATTTATCGTGGGGCGCAACTTCAGCTCTCTATGCTCTTTCAATTGGCTTTAGCATCTTTTGGGTGAAATGATCGCAAAAATTTTTAGCTTAGGGTATTGATTTTGAGTTTTGAGGTGTGTAAATCGTTATAGATAGATAGACTATATGATAGACAGCTAATCAATATTATGTGACCTTCTTGTCGCGATTATTGGTCAATTTAGTGTAACTCTCACCACGTGATGTGACCTTGAATGTTGTTTGTTGTCTGTCACTCTATTTGTGTGTACATGTAATTAATTAACTGTTCATTTTGTCCATACCTTCAATACTGTTCGGTACGTTTTTGTCCTTTTTTGAATGACAGTGGATTTGTACATTTTTCTTGGTGTAATTGTATGATTTATTTTATGTTTTAGAAACAGATAAAGTTTAAGTCAAGTCATTCTGTTTTAACTATAGCTAAGCCAAGACTCTGTGTCGTCAGTATTGAGGAAGGACTAAATCTGTAGGACAAAAATAATCCTACAAGGTGTTCCCCGAATTAATAATAGTTTGTGATAGAATTTTCAATAGCTTTCTGGCCCGTATTTGTTTTCGGAAGGTTAAGTGTAATGTTAACCTCTTTTTTGTTTAAATTATTCTCACATATATATAGCTCGTGAAGGTGAACAGAATACAACATCAAAGAATAATAAAATTCCTTCGCAAAGTGTCAGTAGCAACGATGAAGATGAAGATGGTGAAGCATTTTTTGACGCCTACGATGAAAGTCATTCATCATATCATGATGTTGAAAATTCTCAACAAAACTCCCAATGGTTGGATACATGTTGTAAGCAATTTATATAAATTTTTCAAATCTTATGATTATCTTTCCTCTTTAATGCACGAAATGTCGAAGATTATTTGAATAGTAATATTAGAAAATGGTTAAATAAAAGAGTTATTGAATACTTGATAATAATGATGCCTATTCTGTATCCACGGTCTGAGTTGATGGTTAGTCAATGTTGATAATGGTGTCCAGTTCATGAAACTGTAGTGGATCGCTGACATTTTGACGAGTTACTTTCATTTTTCATTTCCTTCACGTTCCCCAGTGGAACATTGGGCTTCAAGCTAGTGGTTTGAAGTTTCTGTAGCAGTGTTTATTTTACAGGATGGGGTTGGTAGCCTCATGCCCAACCTTTCCTCTTTACCAGCATTATTTGTGGTTTAGCGAGGTAAAGGAGGAGTGCGTCTGTGGCCGGGGATCGAACCCCGGACCATATGCATGGTCAGCTAGCGTCCTAAGCGCTATGCCACCGACGCACTTTCATAACAAATGTAATTTGATTGGAGACTGTCCACTGAAGAGATTCATAGGAAGCATGCCTTTTTTCAAGTTTGATCATGGGGAGAATCAGTTAGTGCTGGACGACAGCTTTACTCTATAAAATTTCACAGTATACAACAACAGTTTTGCTTCTTTCTCTTGTTAAAGATGAATAACACATATCACTATACTGTTTCTGATTACTACAACTTGTTTAATTTCATTGTTATTATTACTATTATTTATTTATTTATTTTGAACAGCTAGAAAGGAGGCACTTTCTGAAGCAGAAACAATACTGAACTGGTTTAAATCGCGTCCATTGCAGTATCATTTGCATTCTCTGCTTCCACATATTATTTTGGAGTGTCTACTTACATTTCATTCATTAGGTAGGTAAGTAGGTAGGTAGGCAGGTTGGTGTGGTGTGGTGTGGTGCCGTATATTCATTCAAATACTGATTTCTTTAAAACCCTTTTATTTGTTACCTATCAGGTAAATATACCGCCAAAGAAAATTATAAAAATAAGCAGCAAGTGTATATGTTGGCAGTTTTCTTTTAAAAGCTCAAAATATGATATTATTTGTTTTTTTTTATTATTTTGAATATAGCTTGAAACAACACAGTATTTTTGGTACAAGTATGGAATTCTCAGCATGTGACATCGGTAGCCCAAATTTAGCAGGCCGACCATTCATATCGGGTGACCGTCGGCAGGGGATCGAACCCCGGACCATGTGCATGGTCGGCGATAGGCCTAACCGCTGTGCCACACCCTTGGTTTCCAAGTGGAGCATAGGGCTTCAACAACACATCCCCACTTTGTTCTATTTTGTGCTCTCCTCTTCAGCTGACTAGCCTCACAGTTGCCTATAATCTCTCATCTCCTCCTCACATGATCTCCTCCATGTGACTCTCGTACCGACGACCCACCAAAGCGATGGCCTGCATGTGGCGCGATGTCAGTCTACGCCCTCCCTCCCAACGTATGACCGATCCAACTCCATTTTCGCCAACATACTACTTGTTGAGCGATGGAAACGGAAAATAATCTACTGAGATGTATGTATATCTAGCTGATAAGCCCTAAATGGGATGATGAGGCATGGACACTAAATTCCACTGTCCATTACAAAGGAAAATTAAATTAATTTGTATGTACTACTGAAATTCGATTTAGTCATATATCTCAATCAACTTTCTCTCTTCATTCTCCTCAGTCCCACATCCTCAATTGTCAGACTGGTATTCTTCTTTACTAAGAAAACTTGATGAAAAAGTGTACGATTTACTAAGCATTCGTTCAATGAAATCAATGTCAAGTGAAGAAAAAACTTCGAACGATAATAAGTCCAGTGTGAGTTTGTTTATCTCTCCTGTGTTCGTGAATACTATTATTAATACTTTGTTGTCATTGATTATTATGAATGTTGTATGTTCAAGTATTGGTTTGTAGGGATTTTGTTGATTGGTTACAGGATTTCATCATGAGCTGTCATTGGTTAGAGAACCATTGGAAAACATGGGAGTACTGAACAGCTGCTTCTGTTGTCCTAGTTTGGGTCTCTTCAGCAGTACGCACCCACCGGGGTTTGAACCCAGGACCTTCTGGTTACAAGTTAGATTTCATGGGCCATTGTATCGGGTCCCAGTGGCTTAATGGTCTACGAGCTCGCTTTGTAACCAGAAGATCCTGGGTTCGAACTCTGGTGGTGGGTGCGTACTGTGAAGAGTCCCAAACTGGGATGAAACAGCTATCCAGTACTCCCAGTTGGTTTTCCAATGGTTCTCTAACAAATGTCAGCTCATGATGAAATCCTGTAACGAATGTTGTATATGTTTGTCTAGAGTTATTTAAATAAAATTTTACCGCAAGCTGAGAACATCCTCCGCCTTACACCTATCTGTACAAGAACACGTTTTTCTGAAGTGGATTTTTAACGAAATAAAAAACGTTGTTTGTGTCCGGATAAAATTATATAAGGTGATGGGTGCTTGATTCTGGTATCTCACAGTAGCAGCATATTCTCTCACTGTCCATTGTTGAACAAATCCTAAATCTGACAGGACTTGTGTCACACATTCCTCCTCAACTAAATAACTAAATTTCAAGCAGTTGAGTTTTCACTATCGATTGAAAAAGTTGACACATTGACCAATTGCTCAGTATTTTGCAGACTATATGTGTGATGTTATTCTAAAAGAAGGCTTGAAACACGTTTGACTCAGCGTATAGTAGTCTGATGTGTTTCATTTCACTTGACCACCACAATGGCGAACTGACTGGCTGACTGAGTTACAGCGCGCACCAGTTCAAGTTGGCAGGACTTCATGGACTTGCGAGACTACACACCATGAATTCATCAGCGCCGTTTAGAACGATTTTAATCCATATCACCAACAGTCTCATTCTATGGGTGCATAGCGTCCAAAGGAACTGAACCAGGCCATCTTCTTCACCTTCCTACATGATTAAAAGCAACATTCAGTTGTTTTTTTCATGAATTGATTATCGGTTTCGACTTTGCCACCTATCACTCTTTTCGAACTTGATCAAAACTCATTAAACACTGCTCAACGAATAAGGCGGTGGCTAGATATAGCTTCATAACATAATTGATTGACTTGCCCACCTTACCTAACACTGCTGTTAACCTCTATAGTACTCAATAGATTGAACCACGTAACACGGGAGATAGAACGCAAACATATGTAGTCAAAGATAGCCAGCCACCTTCTTCATGTCTTCCACTTTCAGTGGTCTTGACTTGGTGAATAGCCTTCCGTATTTTAGTGACCCAACGAGCTACACTAGCTGCAACGGATGTTCTTGTAGGTCCTACTAAGCCTGAAATGTTTTCTGGATAGTAGTTAGATTGGAAGCAGTTAGTATAATAGTGTACATCGTTTACACTCTATTGGGTACCCAATGGAATAGTCGTACTGTTGGCGAATAGGGGTTTAGTAGAAACCTGCCTATTCTACTTCGCTGTGGGATGGGGGGGGGAATTAGAAAAAGTCATCCGCAGAAGTTGTTCATTCCAAACCATCCCTCACTGGTTCTTAGCCAGCTGTAAATTTTTCACACGGGCACAGCTTCAAAAAGCCTACGTGTGATCGGTCTCAAGTAGTTGTGACATGGACTCTAGAGCTATGCATCCCTAATGCTCTTTCTGTTTCATTTCAGTTCGAATCAAGTTTCATTTGTTCAATGATATAGTTCTTGAGTTTACATTGTCAGTCTAGAGAAAGTGGGCAGAAACTTCAAAAAAGAAATTAGAATGCAGTATTTTTTTCTTAAGTATCACATTAACTTATGAAGAAGTGGTCGATTGTTTCGATATTTCCATTTCACAGTGACTTATTCGACTATGTAATTGTTTTTTTATTAATAATTGCCCAAGTACCCCGTATATGTTCTTTGCGTTTGATGTCCTAGATGATTAACGACCTATACAGCCTAACTTATTGGTTTTAAATTCTCTCCAATCTTCAAGGCTTTAACTCAGTTGTTGTGTGAATATGTGCTGGTTTACTGTTCACCATATTTACTTATATAACAGTAGCAGCTGGTCGTTGATCCTAGGCTAAATTCATTGAAATGGCCTGATATTCGGTGGATTGATGATCTGAAACACAGATTCTCGTTGTAACTTCCTTCAACACTTTATGTATACCATTTTTTTAAGAATTAACATCAATTATTTTTGGTTTGGTTTGGTTTTCATTCTCACTTTTCCTAGTTTCCCTACTCGGTATTCTGTGATGTACTAGCACTGATTTCTCGATTGTCAACTGAAATAACATGTTTAAATGAATTAATTTCGAATGCGATAATTTGTGGTAAGTTTCTCTCTTCTTTTTTTACTTGGTCTGAAAATATATCCAAAATAGATTGTTGATTAAATTATTAAAAACATCATAGATGGGGTTAGTTATTGTTAAAACATGTGCACTCTATGGGACTGTGCTTCTTCGATTTAGAAAACAGAAAGATTGAACGAAGAAATATTTACTTTTCAATGAGATCCTCATCTCTATCTGGCTCTACTCTAATATATTCTGTATAGCATTTTTATTACAATACACAACAGTTTACCAATCAAGTCGCGCTGATATGTTTGTTAACAATAATTAAACAGTGTCAAAGTGTCAATGGGTTGATAATTAACGAAGAAAACCAATACACACAATTAAAAGGTAGAAATGGTTAGAATAAATTAATTTTACAAAGATAACACGTAATTAAAGATGAAGTGGTCAGAAAAAATAAAGTAATTTGGACAATTATAATTTTTATAATTTTAAAGGTTTAGTGGGATGGGGGCGAGATGGTCCGGTTTACACATTCATGTAACGATGGCCACGGTAAGGAAAGTGGCTGTACAAATTTGGCTTCTTCAGGTGGATTCCGATTGCTTCAGCTGTGTGTAGAAGACGAACTCTTAGAGCAAAATTAAGATTAGTAGGAATGCGATAAATAATTTCAAATGCTGTATTGACATCAACTTTATGCTCACTGTCTACAAGGTGTGCTAAAATAGAACTACGAATAGATCTTGTTTGTCCCTTGCTTAACCATGTTGGATGATGTTGGGAAATATGACGATGAACCTGCCTAATTGTACGCCCAATGTAGCTGGCTGCGCAGCTGCAGTCAAACTGGAGGAGGAGGCAAATTTAGGTAGTTTATCCTTATTTCTCGAACATAGAATAGGGGTGGTTGTGAAGAGACAACGTACCTCTGCTGCATAATAAGCTCTTTTAACTGCATTCTTCAGGCTCTGTGTTATTGTTTCTCTGATGTTGTTACCGAGGAACTGCAATTTTATGAACATTGGTTTTTTCGGAACTGTTGCTATACTGACTCTCCTAGGTGGTGAATTCATATTTTTCTCAATGAGTTTATCTGGATAACCATTTTTTTTCTAAGTAATTCTCTAATAATCGTAAGCTCCTCATTGAGGCAGTCATCTGAAAAGATCAACCTGGCTCTATAAACCAGAAACTTTATCAAGTTATATCTAATTAATGTTCAGCTACTGGATCAAACCCCACTCCTACCTACTGAAGTTTGGTCAGGTTAGTATCGTCAACAACTCATTACAGACAATGAAGAATATGGTTCATTTTCTAGCTGCATGTAAATGTGAATTCTTGTTCAGTAACCTGAGATTTCCAGTTTATTCTGAATTTATTTTTTTCAAAATGGTCTTGTTATTGTGTATCTCATCCTACAGGTTGTATTCTTGAGTCTATTCACCTTCTGGACTGTTTTGAGCTTGAAACGAATAGAGAGAGAGAGAGAGCGCGCGTGGTTGGATTATTTTTCCGTCTAAGTGTTTGAATTGGTGTATGAGTGTTTGAGATGGTTTGAACTGAAGATAAGTAAATTTAACCATTTCCTTTTTTCCCTCTTGACTTACAGCGAAAGTTTTTAAAAAAAAGTAAAATGTAATTCAGGAATTACATGTGTGGCTATTCACTTGGCGTGGCAGCAAGCCACACTTATTATATAAAGACTGAGTTGTCTTAGCGTATTACTGTAAGATTCTGAACGGCCATCATTATCCAGCTATTTCGCCTATATTCTAATAGACTATGGTGATTAAAGTGTACAATGCAGTCTAGAAGAAATATTTGATGAATGAGTCAGTGTGAAGAAACAATAAGTTTTTCAAGGCGGTAATTATCACTTGTGAATCCTAATTCAACTTTTTTACTAATTCAGCGTATTTGCACGGCTGATGTCATAGACAAAGAAAATGAAATATTGATGGATATCCTCTAAAACATTTTAAACAGGTGTAGAAGTCAATTAGTCTTTAAACCTACAATCTATACCGCCCCTGAGAAAAATGTCTTCATCAAGTTACCATATAACGGGGAAATAAACAATAGGATTCTGAGGCGAAGGTTGAGTTCGGTCGTCCGTAGGACCTATTATGCAGCCCAGCTTGTAATTGTCCAAAAAGCCAAAACTATGCTCCACTGCAAACCTCAAAAGTGCACAAGTGATTATGTCACATCACACACTATTTACCAATTTGTGTGTGTGTGGACACATGCATAGGGAGGAGTAACGTGCCTTACATGTGAGGTTGGGAGAGCATATCCCGAAATGGTTAGAAATACAAATGAATTGTGGAAAACCAATAGAAGCAGGTGTCAGACTACCAACTTCGTCTATAGCTAAACATCTAATCGAAATGAATTATAAGATTGATGTTAACCCACCCTTTAAGGTCATCTATAAAAATGGTCAAGGGCGCTTATTGAAATACGCTGAGGCTATAGCTATTCATAAACTTAAGCCCCCTCTGTGTATTCAAAAACAGTTTATTATCACTCTCAACCTACCTTGATAATCCTTATTTCATTGGATTACCAAACGTTGTGTTAATCATTCTTAAATCTTTTTTCTTTTATTTTGTCACTTTGTTTAATTTAATTGCCCTTAATTTTTTCATCATATATATCGACTTGACAAGTAAATATGTGATCAGATTGTTCGAAATGCATAGCGCAAATGCATCACATTTTTCAGATAATCTCCGTCTTCTAATAACGCTATCCAAATATATAAAAGGGACTTATTGTTTTAAATTTTTGAAAAGAAGTTAGAATTCATTGACAGTTAAATAGGGTCTCAGCAGCGGCTTAATGGTCTACGAGCTAGTTTGCCTTGTAACCAGAAGGTCCTGGGTTCGGTCCTATGGTGGTGGGTGCGTACTGATGTAGACTCCCGAACTAGAGCAATGGAAACAGCTATCCAGTACTTTCAGTTGGTTTTCCAGTGTTTTTCTAACTGATGTCAGCTTATGATGAAATCCTCCAACTAATTTGTTTTTTGTTGTTTGTTTTTTTCCTTTCACTAGGCCATGGTGATTTGTTATCATCAAACTCATTTCTAGACGCCTTGTGCCATTTATCCAGTAATATGAATTTAAAAGAAAAAGACAATTGTACATTCGAACCATACATATTCGGTAGTTGGATTGATCTGCCTTGGACTAAAGTTTCTACTAATATGATCTTAGCATTTCTTGAAACTCTATTTGACAAATGTGTGCCTGTAAGTAAAAAAAGTGGTCTTTCTGTTATCATAATTTATCAGGTAACAGAATTTTTAAAATACAACTGTCAAGTAAGACTGCTCAATATTTGTATACAATAAATTTATTATACAGATGTGGCTGGTTGGCTTAAACATTAGGATTTCATTCAATAGGTCCCTCGTTAGAATCCTTTTGGTAGGTTACATGTCTGATTAATACTTCAGTCAGTGAATTATAAATCTTATAATGCAACCTTATAAGCCATTTATGTGCTGAATAGTCAACGGGTTGATACCTCACAAATTGAGCCTTCTAAGTAAGTCGTCGAAATAGTTGTCCAGATGCCAAATGGTTTCTGGGGGATATTCGCCTCGTTGACCTAAACTCTAACCTTTCATACAAAGTATCCCAGATTCGAATTTCGTTCTACCTACTTCAACTCTGGGTATTATCATAAACTCTCATAAGAGATATTGTGTACATAAAAAATCGGTTGTGGATAACTGAGTTCTGATTGTGCTAATTTCTTTTCACTTTGTTATATGTTATGCTGACTTTTATCCTATTTCAAACTTCATCAACTTAAATTTTCAGACTTTTTCAAAGCACCTATAAAAAGATCTCAGAAACTTTGTGACAGCATAACAGACAAAAACCTCGCATGGTTTACTGGTAGGTCCTAAGCCTGGAAAAAGAGGAAAGGTTGGGCGTGGGGCGACCTTACACCTGAAAACCAATCCACTCACCACAGAACATTCAAAACACAGCAAAAGTATGGGAAAAAATTCTACATATTCTTCGCTGGAAGGTGAGAGAGGGAACGAAGTGGGTTTCGTGAAGGCCTTAGGGAAGCCAGTCAGCGAATGTGTATTCTTTCACTGGAAGTGAAAATAAGCATTAGGACATGGAGTGTTCGCATGATGTTTGAATCAGTGAAAGCTGGGTTTCACCTGACGGACACACCGAAAATCAGATAGGCTTCATGTGAATGTCAAGAAAGTGGAGACAGTGTGGTAGACACAAAATAGAGAAGAAGAGTGGATGTGGGATCATACGACTATCTAGTGCAAAACGCTTTCAGGGTCAAATTCAAGGCCTAAAGAACAGTTGAGGACAGACCACAATTTAGGTTCAACACTCAGTAACTGAAGGATCAAACGACAAGGGACTTGTTCACAGCAGCCATCAGGACAAAGTTGGAGACACTGTGTAGTATCACTGAAGGAAGCTGTGTTGAAGAACACTGATGCTCTCTGAAAGTGATATTGGTGGAGACCTGTGTAGTGTTGTCTTAGGAAGGAAGAAGAGGCAAAACAAGCAATGACACCTGAACGATAATATAGGCGAAGGATATGATGAAACAGAAGATGAACATTGGAAACAGAAACTGAGTTCAATATACTAGGCACTGAGGAAAGAAAGAAGTGAAGACGAGTGCTAGGAAAGACAAAAAACAATTGTACGACACACTGGAAACTGAAGCACAACAGCCTGCATGCTAGAGGGACTTCAGAATATTACATCAGATAACCAGAAAGTTATCAGGGAAACGATCAGCACAGGTAAAATCAATGATGGTGATAGGATCCTAATTACCAAAGAGGAGAAGCTAAGGGAATATTGTTCTCATCAATTCAAAGGACCGTCGCTTACAGTGTATCCAGAAATGCCAATGAACACAAGTCCTCCAATAAAAGCTGAAGTTTTTGAATGCTATCAGGCTAGTGAAGGCGCGGAAGGCACCAGGACAGGACGAAATTCCTCCTGAAGCACTGAAAACGGACCCAGATACTGCGGCAGATATCCTAGCACTATTGAAAAAGGTTTGGAAGTAAGGAAGGGTACATACTGACTGGAAGGAAAGCTACCTTCCCGAACTACGATGGCAGGTCGACTTAGGCCTGTTCAAGAACTGGAGTGGAATAATGCCCCAAGTAAAATACTAAGTCACATCATCGTGGAGAGAATAAAAGATGTACTGGATACAGAACAGTGCCCCACTGACCAGAACAACCTGGATTCAGGAAAAGTAAATCATGTGCTGATCAAATTGCAACTCTACGCATCATCATCTAACAGAGGAAAGAATGGCAGTCAATCCTGTCTCCACCTCAACTTCTTTCATTGACTTCGAAAGAGCCTTCACCAGATAGCGTTGACTGATAAGTAATTTGGAAAGCACTTCATTACTACGGTGTGCATTGCCCGAATCTATATCGACTTCATTCAACATCTGGCTATATGACAATGCCACGTGTCAGGTGATCCACAACGGAAAACTCAGCAAAGCCTTTGGAGTGAATATAATAGGAATAAGAGAAGGTGACGATATATTCCTTATTGTGGTGGACTGCAAATGGGGAGCGAGAAGACAGGAATACGCTGGACTGATAAGAAAACGCTAGAAGATCTACATTTCGCGGACGACTTATGTCTGATGTCATGTAAACTAGAATATGCATAAGCAAAATAAACAACAAGTTAGCAGAATCCTCAAGCAGTGAACACACGGCTTCGATGAGTGAATCAAGAACCTATTGCCCAACAAATATGCCAATGGAAATGGAGATGAATGCGACACTCTGAGATCGTTTAGTGACATTGGGAACAAGGTGGCGAGTTGGGCGTCCGAGGGTGATATGAAGGAGATCGTGTGAGGATTAGATGAGAGCTTATGGCAGATAGCGGAGCCAGGTAAATGGACTGCAGAGAACAGGATGAAACAAGGATGTGCTGTTGAAGCACTATGTTCGAATCGCAACTCAAAGGAATAATAATAATAACACAGAAACATCAGTGTGGTGAATGTTTGTGATAATGTTCTTCATATCTGAGTGCAATTCACTGTGAACAATTTCCATTCATATCACCAACAGTTTCCAGTGATTGATTCTCTATATCCTGAAAACGCCAAAGAAATAACCCTACACCTGATTTTATTGGTTTGGGCGAAGAGTCACAGAACGCATAGTTTATTGACATGTTTGCCTTTGACCACACCTTACTGTTTTCCGACTTGATCCCACTCCAATTAATAATGACATTTGGGGAGAGCAGTAGATTGAGATCCATAACATCATTTTGCATTTCTCACCTGGCACTGTGTCGGATATTTGCATGAATTACCATTTTCCTCCATTTAATATAAACAGTGGTAAGTCGTCATATCATCTAATTTCAATGGCTTAATACTTCCACAATCAGGATTTTCATCACAATCTATCTTTTCCCCGTAGTAATAAAATACACCTGGTATTACAACCACCTCTGATGGTGTATCACCAAAGCACGTATACCATACTAACGAACACTGATTACCAAATGAGGATGTGACAATTAATCCAGGGATTAGTTATTCAATAAAACTTTGGGATTAAGGCGCCGTTCAAAAGAGAAAACATTTCGACCAACTTTCTATCGTGTTCATCTTATCCTAATCTTTATTTTCTTTTCTTCTTTATTTCAACAGGCTGAATTAGCTGACAGTGAAGTAGGCAAATTCCATTTCACCAATGTACCACAAACGTGGATACCACCGAATCGTCCAGTTGACCTAAGACGTCCAGATATGGAAGTGTATATATTTTATACTGAATTAGGTTATCCTAATCCATTAGTTAGTCGCCTAGGTCCACAACGTCTATTCATTGAATTGGCTTATGATAAAAAGACATCGAGTTATACACATTTAAAAATGGCTGGAAGTTTTAGTCAAGATACACAATTCTTTTAATACATATATGTTATTAATGTCTTTTGTATCTGTAAGATAATGTGGTTCGTATTTACAGTTGCTTTGTATTATCTGATTGCTGTTGACTTCGGTATAATAATAATAATAATAAAGACCACCCTGACATTAGTTCTCTTTTCTTTTTCTTATTTGTCTTTTTATCTGATGTGATAACGTGAGCTGTTATTATTTTATAATTTTTCTTATTCTTCAGTATTTTGACAAATTTTCCGTCTTTTTGTAACTCTATACTCACTGTTTATGATATTTAGAATCCTCAACTATATAGCTTAATAATTTTATAATGAATATTGAACTTTTGTTTGAATTTTGTAGTATTTCCGCATATTTTCTTCTTTTGCTTTTTATTTCCAGTATTTTACTTTTGTCTTGTGGTGGGGGGGGGGGCGGATAAACTAGACAAGATTATGTAGAGATCGTTTGTTTGATAGTTCTCTGAGCTTTGATGCTTCTTGATACATGCATATTTCATTACTAGGCTTGACAATGTCATCTTCAGCATATATATATATATCTGAAGATGTTTTTCTCTTTAAATATTTTACCGAGGCTGTTGATGAAACTCTGTGCATCGAATATCAAAGCTGAAAAAACATCAAACAATATCTATCGTCATCCTGAGGCACAAGGCGTTTCTGTTAGTATTATGATTTAAAAGAAATTATGTTTTGTTTCTTTTTTTTATTTATTATATGCGTCTCCATTCCACTGCGTCTTTCTCTTTCAGTTGTGAAAATGCAGACAGTAGAGTTTTTATTCTGCATCTGAATGTATTATGAGAGATATTAATTAATCGTGAATTTAATATAAAAAATTAAAGTCTGTTGTTCACTTTCTGTTGGTTTTTGTAGCGTGTCATAATTTATAATAGTGGATTTTTTTTCCTTTATGTTCCTAGTGAAACATACGGCTTCAAGCAAGAGGCTTGAAGTTTCGGTAGCAGTGATGTTTATTTTTACAGGATGGGGTTGCTAGTCTGCCTCATGTCCAACCTTCCCTCTTTAGCAGTTTTACTACTGACTTATTGAGGTAAGGCAGTGTGTGGGCCGGGGATTGAACCTCGAATCACATGAGGCGTGGTCGGTGAGCATTCTACCTCCGTGCCACTGACGCACTAATAATGAATTAGGAATTACATTTTTTCATGTAAATAGTATAAGGCTAACATATCATGTGGGTTTGATATCGATAAACTGTATCTCAGTATAGATTTCCTCAATGAGATGAAGTGAAGATCCTGCTGTTTCTTTCGATATAAGATCTCTACAGCTGATGTCATCGGACTGCACCAGTCACAACTCCTCATTAGGACTTCGGAACGCTAATTACTGACGAGTACCAAACTTGGATGAAACATTAGCCCAGTGCTTTTTATTTTTCCACTTCAAAATTAATCGAATTTCCATACACCCAAAGTTTAGTTAACATTACGTCACCACACTTTAAATTACTATGAGAAGACTAGGCAGTTGCATAGTTTGCTAATAGGGAAATTAAATTAAGGACATCCATAGAACTTCCTTTGATAGGCACTGATAAAGAATCTTTTAAAGATTTTCTCTTTTACATTAGTTTATGAACAATGAAGATGTAAATGAAGCACTTACGGTTAGGTTTGCAATCAGCCTGGTTTTTACGAGTTTCCTATTCATGATTTGATGAATATAGACATCAAATTTCCACGCATAGTGATTGCAATTTTCCGCATTACTTGTGTAGGAATAAAATTACCTTAACTGGAGGACTAGGGGGGGGGGAGATTTTAATCTTCTGGAATTTAAGTCAAAAGAAAAAATGATTTACACTTCATCATGGATGATACCATTACTGCCATCGCCTTGTGTTTTTTTTTTGCTTTTAGTCGCCTTATATGCTTGTTTTATGTACTTCGAAGTTACTCATAATTGCGATCAGTTGCTAAAATGATTTCCAAATACTTTGCAACACGAATAGATTTTAAGCCAGTGTTGATAATTTGTAAGACACAAAAAGGGGAAGATTCAAGATAATTGACCAATTTGAAAACCGATATCAAACAGAAAGTATTTGGAGGTTGATATGCATAGAATTATACTATAGACTTCAAGTGTCTAGCTTAAAGCCGTATGTTCCACTGGGAATGTAAAGGAATAAAAAAAGAATACTATATACGCCTAACTCGGTAGGTTACCCTTTACTTCCTCCTCCCTCGTCAGTAGTGCGCATTTAGAAACAAAGGTTAGATTTCTTAGTTTTGTGTTGAAATTCAACAACTGATTAATCGTTGAATTTAATGCTTCCTAAAAATTTCTTAATCTCTATGTTTAACACTGCAAACACAGCGTAGGAGTTTATCTATAATTAAAACATAGGCTTCTTGCCCTAAGACTTTATCTGTTTCTGAAGAACAAAAGTTGCAAAGCAATTCATGTTTAATGACACCAATGTATATATATATATATATATATATGCATATATATATATATATAGAGAGAGAGAGAGAAGAAGTGTAGTGAACTATAATCGATTTAGATTTACTGGAGAGATAAACATTTTCAGAATCCTGACTATAGAAGTGGTGAATACACTTGAGCCATTGGCAATGATCTTAAGCCATTTCACCAGGCAGTTTGCTACTACCGATTCTTAACATCCCGGGAACTCTAAGTGGCTGAAAACAACAGACGAAATGCTTCACGGATCAGTGCTATGTTTCGATCTGAGAAGGCGGTTCGCCACGTCCACCATATTTCTAAGGCCATCTCAGTCGATCGAGTTGCTCTGGTTTATTAATATAGCACAGCATAAAAATGACCACATAGCAGAAAGCTGGATACACTCAAGACATTCTAAAAATTATCATATCTTGAAATCAATACGCAGAAGCAGAATTACAATGCAGAAAATGAATCAATACATAACTGTATATGCTCTCCAGGCAAACATATCAACGTGGAACCTTAAACAGAAGTAAATCGCTTTAAAGTGTCGAACTATTCACACGGTTCATCTTATTTCAACTATAATACATCGCAGGAATTTTTTTAAATGCCTGTTCTGACTTCTATAAAGTCGTTTAATTACCAGCAACCAAATGACACTGCCGTTAAACTTCATTCCGTGTTTGCTCTAACCGTAATCGTGTGGTAGGCTTGTAGAGGATACAAATATGTCTTATGCAGGTTCAGGATTTTATCATTCTACTACTTTCATCATCCAAATGAAAACAGTTCAAAAAGTTATCAGTTGATAGAAATGCCAGTTTACGCCGTCTCTGGCGTAGACGTGATATCCGACTATCGACCAAAGGGCCGGTGAACTGCTCATCAGTCCGCTCCATCTTCCTTTATGGCTGTGAGACCTGGCCACTGAGAATGGAAGACATGAAAAGATTAGCTGTCTTTGATCATAGGTGTCTGCGTTTTATCTCCCGTGTGAAGTGGTATAATATGGTGAGCAATATTCAGGTGAGGCATCGGTCGAGTGCTACGTAAGGAGGGGAAATCAGTCGACGGGGCTGTGAAATTACGTCAACTGAGATGGTTGGGACATGTGTTACCTATGCCTAGCAATTCATCGCTTTCCTCGACGGGCAATGTTAGCTGACATAGGATTGGTCAGGCTGGAAAATAGCTAGCGGCGGTCTAACCAAAACATGGCACCAGTCAACGAAATACACAACAGTTAGTCTAAGCCACGTAGGAAGGTACAGACTTCCTGACTGGTTGAGGTCCTCGGGATGGTAAAAACCATTGGCTTGTGACAATTGGTGATATGGCTCAAAATCGTTCTCAATGGCTGTGGCAGATGCATCCACTCTTTGTGACTTATGATTTCCAGTTAAATTGTTTTGTTCTTCGTTATTACTATTCCTTTGTCTCACACCTCTGTTTACTGTCTCTATTATGCATTTCTTCTACTTTCTTCTCTTGCTTTGTGTGATACATGTAGGGAGTGTGGCGACTTGAACTGCCTCACATATGTGCAAAGTTCTATCTCGAAAACAGACAGACAGAAATGCTGTATGAGTCATAATACATTACACTAATGATTGAGAAACAAGTAAATGACTTGATTTATGAAGTCAGTTTGAAATTATCTATGAGATTATTTTATCATGTTTGGAAGTGTTTTAAGCCAAATAAGAAGAAGGTTAAGTATAGTCATTTATATTACAGTATAGAGATGTTTATGATAACACATCACTAGACCGAATGAAATTTACCACTGAGACTCAAATGTGACAACACTAGCAAAGCTGTGTAACTTTATTGTTAGCGCGATTCATGGGTGTCTAGATCTTTATTCAAAGCAGGACTGAGCAGTGTTCACTGGTAGTTGTTAAAATTTGAGCCATCAACGGTGTTCAAAATTTTAAACCAAATGATAACACCATTTCATGAAGTTTGTGAACAGTGATACCACATCCAATTGAGAACATGGTTTGATTTGAGACGTTAACTTTTTCAATGGAGTTGATAAAGTCTAGGAGTGATTGGCAGGAAACTTGTCTGCTGATTGGTTCTAGTAGGTCTATTAGCCATTGGGTAGTGCGATAAGACGATAAGGCGAATTCATCATATCTACAATAGGTCGAAGAAGTGTGCCTTTTTTATGCACTTTTGGTAATCCGTACAGTCGAGGTATATTTGAACCAGACGACTTCAACGATTTAAACGTTTCAGTATTGATGAATGATTCAGTTTTTAGTTTTCGGAGGATGTCCGTTAGTTTTTGTTTGGCTTGCTGTGTCATGTTCTTTTCGTTGACCGGTGTTTTGAATTTGGATTCATCGGATAGGATGGTCAGTGTCTTATTTCTGTAGCTCTCACGATTCATGAATACGATTCCCCCACCTTTATCAGGGCGTATCACCATGATCTTTTTGTTGTCCAGTAATTCTCTCAGTTCTTTATAATGTTTCCTGGTTAATGTGGACCCTTATATTTACCTTGGTATTTATAAACTTATGGCAGCTGTCAATGACTGACGATTTGAAT